AGTGACAGAAAACTTTCCACCTGGTGAAAGAATTAGACTTACAAGTCCAGGAAGTGCACAGAACCCCAAACAAAAGGAATCCAAAGAGGACCACACCAAGACACATCATAATTAAAATTCCAGAGCAAAAGACAAAGAGAGAATATTAAAAGCAGCAAGAGAAAAGCACCCATATGTAAAGGAGCACCCATACGATTGTCAGCTGATTTCTCAACAGAAACCATGCAGGCCAGACGGGAATGGCAAGAAATATTCAAGGTGATGAATAGCAAAAACCTACAGCCAAAAAATACTCTACCCAGCAAAGCTATCACTCAGAATCAAAGGCCAGTTAAAAAGCTTCACAAATAAAAAATAGCCAAAGGAATTCATCACTGCCAAACCAGAATTATATGAATTACTGAAGGGGGTTCTTTAGGAAGAGGAAGAAAATAAAGATAAAAATTATGAACAACAAATACATAACTATCAACAAGTGAATCTAAAAACTAAGGGAATTAAAAAATCTGATGAACAATATTAACTGGTGAATATAATAGAATCGGAGGTATGGAAGGGGAATGAACTGACGATTCCCGGGGAAAGGGGATTAGGGGTGTGTGGGAAGAGACTGAACATAAACTGTGCACCTATCGATGAGGACAATGGGGGGTGGGGAAAGGGCAGAGGGTGGGGTGGGAACCTGGTGGAGGGGAGCAATGGAGGGGGAAAAAAATGAGGTACATTTGTAATAATATGAACAATAAAGATTTATTTAAAAAAATAAAAGTGAAAAAGCCATTCTTATTTAAAAAGACAGTGGACTGGATTTTGCCCAGGAGCTAGCTATAGTTTGTTAGCTCCTGATCTATCATTATAGTTATTATTGTTATTTTTATTGCATCATTTTCTGACTGTACCATTTCCTCTGTGGTGTGTCGATTTTGATACCTCTTTGCCCTTTCTCTCAAGGAGCTGAGGCGCAGCTATTTTTTGCAAAATCTGTGCTTCTGGCCTTCATGTACCTCAGCAGGGAGAGACAGAATCCTTATCCAAAAGGACCGTGAGGCCAAGATTAGATCATGCCCCTCTTCTCTTTTTTGTGTCCTGGCTAGTTTGACACGTAATTTGGGTCACAGATGCATTCTGACCGGTGGGTCTGGTTTCTGCAGGGTTCCAGTGAACAGAGCATGCTGTCTGAATGATGACGAGAGTCAGGTTTTTATATAATCGAGGTTATTTATATCTTTTAATAGGTTGGTGCCAAGGGGTTCTTTTTAAGCCCGACACTGAGAGTCAGAGAGAGGTCTGGATAATAAATTCAGCGTCATCTCTTAGAACAATAATATATCAGAAGGGTATCCAGGCTGGAGTGTTTGCTTGTGATGGAAACAGGGGAATTGTAAACATTTTATACTGCTCTATTCTTGCTAAATTTAAAATGAAAACACGATACAGATTTTTTTTTTTTATGTCAAGTGTGTTTAAAGGGCGATAATGTTCCCCTGTATTAGAGGGGAACAGAACCCAGAACATTCTCAGCTTTGTAGCTTTGGCTGTAGTCTGTGGAGCCACCCAGCAAACCAGTTCTTGGTCTTTATTCAGGGCCATGAAGCAGCAGGGGCAGGCGACAGAGGCTCAGGCGCCCACAGAAAGAGCTGGTTTGGTTGGTCTGACAGCTGCAGTGATTTATGAGAGTGCTTGTTAAGGACCATCTGCTGCTGAGAGCCGCCAAATGAAAGGCTCACAGGAGGAGATCAAGGAATAGGAGGGGGAGGGCTTGTATAAGGCAGGTAAGGACCATCTTAATTACAGCTGTTAGAATTGTGAGTTGATAGGGAACTGTAGAATAGTATGAGGTGGTACAAGTAGCACAGGCTTTGGACTTGCACAGACCTGGCTCTACGTTAGGTGAGTTGCGTCCCTTCTCTTGAGCCTCCATTTCTTCATCTATAAAATTGGCATAGTAGCCCTAGATGGTTTGGCTCACTGAATAGAGCGTTGGCCTGCAGACTGAAGGGTCCCAGGTTCAATTCTGGTGTAGGGCACATGCTGAGTTTCGGGCTAGATCCTTAGTGGGGGTTGTGCAGAAGGCAGACAAACCACGATTCTCTCTTATCATTGATGTTTCTATCTCCCTCTCCCTTCTTATCTGAAATAGATAAATAAAAATACTTTTAAAAAACGAAATGGGTATAATAAACACTCTCTCCCTCTCCTGCTATGTGAAACTGTACTAACATAAAAGTCCAAGCGGAGTTCCTGGTGCCTAGGAGAGCTCAGAAAGTGGTAGACATTATTAATGTTTGTCCATGTGTCCATTTAATTCGCTGATTCATCAGCATTCATTCTCCTTTGTGATTTCAAATAGAGACACCTTTTCAAATAGATGACTGAGCAGCAATAGCTCATGTGATCAGAGTGGAAGTATAAAACAGTCAACATGCATTTATAGGTATATGTATAAGCATCTAAATGGCACACAGGAGTGCAGTAAGTACCTCAAGTATGATTTAATATACAGCCACCTGGCCAATAAATACAATAAAAGAGACATCACCACATTCACTAATAATAGGGGAAATCACAGAATAAGACTGAAATGAGATTTTGCTTCACACTCACCAGAATTGTAAAAATTTTTAAGTCTGACAATATCAAGTGTTAAGGAGAATATAAAGTGAAGGAACTTGCCCTAACCGGTTTGGCTCAGTGGATAGAGCATCGGCATGTGGATTCAAGGGTCCAGATTTGATTTCGGTCAAGGGTATGTACCTTGGTTGTGGGCACATCCCCAGTAGGGGGTGTGCAGGAGGCAGCTGATTGATGTTTCTCTCTCATCGATGTTTCTAACTCTCTCTCCCTCTCCCTTCCTCTCTGTAAAAAATCAATAAAATATACTTTAAAAAAAGAATCACTTAAAAAAAATAAAGTAAGGGACTTCATATACACTACTAGTAGGAGTTTAAACTTTGGAAAATGATGTGTCAATGTCTAGAAATTTGAAGATGTGCATATCCTATCTACTAACAAATTTTGTTAGGTATAATCAAAAGAGAGTCTCCCACATGTAGTTAAATTGATGTGTTTATAACTGTATTATTTTAGCAAACAACCTTGTTATCAATCTTAGTGCGAAACCTTAGTGTCTAACAGTGGGTAATGGATGCATTCTTTAAGGAGCTAAAATTACATGTGGTACCAGCATAGGTGAATTTTAAATAATGGTGGGTAAAAAAAAAATGAAGTTGCAAACAGAAAACCATTTATATATGGCTTGAAATTGTGGAAAACAATATTGATATATTGTAAATGTTTACCTACATCTATAATAATAAAAGGGTAATATACCAAATTAGATTGAACATCCTTCCACTCAACCTTCTGGACAAAGGCGGGGCTGTGAGGGAACCTGGGTCCCAGGTGCCAAAGGAAAGCCAGTGCTGGCAGTCTGGGGAAGGAAGGCCTACTCTTGCATGAATTTCGTGCATCAGCCTCTAGTATATAATAAAAGTCTAAAGAAATTATTTGGCTCTAGCTGGTTTGGCTCAGTGGATTGAGCATCAGCCTAAAGGGTCCACAGTTCGATTATGGTCAAGGACGCATGCCTGGGATTATGAGCTTGATCCCCAGTGTGAGGCATGCAGGAGGCAGCCAATCAGTGATTCTCTCATATCACTGATGTTTCTCTCTCTTCCTCTCTGAAATCAATTTTAAGAAATTTAAAAAAGAAATTATTTGGAATGGTAAATATTAAATTCAGGGTAGTTCTAAGAGAAAAATGAGGGAGTGGTTAGAAAGGTTGCCTAGGGCTCAAATCCCAACTCTGTCATTGACTTACTAGGTGAAGATCCTTAGACAATTTTCTGATCTATGAAGTGAAATAATATTACCTACCTGATAGGTATGCTATGGATTAAATGAATGAGTACAGGTAAAATACTTAGAATAATACTTAGCAGATAGTAAGTGCTACCTAAGTTTTAGTACATAATAGTAGTATAGTTAAAGTCCATTACCCCTAGGTATATTAGGAACTATGCTAATAGTTTCTGTGTACTCATTTCACCGTTTCCTATGAAATAGGCATACCTGTGCTATCTAGTAGACAGAGACCAGGGATGCTGCCAAACATCCTACAGTGCACAGGGCAGTCCCCCTCCCTGGCAAAGAAGTATTTGATTTCAAATGTCGGTAGTGCCAAGTCTGAGAAACGCTGAGCTAACTCCAGGGAGCCAGCAAGTACAGTTTTAAGAAGCTGGAAGGGATGAGAACCTGAACCACTTGACAAATAGCCCCGATGACCATCATGCATCCTCAGGCCTTAAACGCTGTCAGAAAGGCCCTCCCGAAGGTATTTTCCATGATGGAGGGGAACTATTTCTTTGAGGGATAGCCATGCGATGGCTCTTCTAACGCAGCCAACTCCATCAAAGGGCAGAGGAGACCCCTGGACTCACTAATAAGCTGCCCGCTGCTCTTCCTTGGCCAGGTCTCTGAAGCCGCACTCTCTGAAACATGTATAATGCTGGCCACATCTATAATTTCAAGTTTTCCAGTATCTACATTAAAAAAGTTAAAAGGGACAAATGAAATTAATTTACTAGTATAACCTATTTAATTCGATATATCCAAAATGCTATCATTTCAACATGTAGTATTGAGATCTTTTACTCCCTCCCCCCTCGCTACCTTTGAAATTTGGTGTGTATTTTATGTTTGGACTAGCCACATTGCAAGTGGTGAGTTGGGACATGTGACTGGTGCTTCCAGTTCTGGTTGTGCTGCTCTGGAAGGTTCTGCTCCTGGGAGTTGGTGAGGGACTTGCCTTGGTCCCTGAAGCCCAGCGGCACTGCTGTAACCCAGAGTCAGTAAGCTGAGAGCAGGAATCCCTGGCCCAGACTTCCAGGAATCCCTGGCCCAGACTGCCGAAGGTGGTCTGCATGCGTTCCAGGATCAAAGCGGGGCTGGTTTTCTGTGTGGTCTGTGCCATCAGCTCCTTTTCTGTTTCTCCTTGGCAGGTGCCTCGTCCCCAGACATGGAGCCCAGCTATGGGGGAGGCCTCTTTGACATGGTGAAAGGAGGTGCCGGCAGGCTCTTCAGTAACCTGAAAGACAACCTGAAAGACACCCTCAAAGACACATCTACCAGAGTTATACAATCTGTTACCAGGTACGTGCCTTCTTCCTGGGTGAGTTAATGGACCTTTGTGGCCCCCAAAGATCTGGTTACCTGCCAACTACCTGTGTGGCTCAAAGACTGGCAGTTTGTGATGCCATTTCATGGGATCTGATTGCCTGAGCAGGGTCACCAAAGCCATAAAGTGGAGTCCTTCTGAAGCTACAAGCACAGGCGGGAGGCCCTAGCTCACTGGTACATGAGAGCACAGTGGGTTGTCATCCCTGGCCTTTGAACCCAACATCCCGAGTTCTAATGCGTTGTTTGCTCTTGTTAACTGTGTGACCTAAGGCAACGTCATCAGCCTCTCTGAGCTTTGCTTCTATACCCTGGTAGGATTTGTGCCCTTGAGTGTTTGAGAATTAAATCAGGTAATCGTGTCTATGCAATCTGAATAAACAATACTCATGTATTGCAATCAAAACAGAATTTTGTTTTTGTATCTTAATAGTCGTTTAGAATTTATTTACTGGGAGAAGTTTCCTATTCTTTCATACGTATGAAAACTTCTACCAGCAGACCATATGAATTTTTAAAAATTATTCCTAATTATTAGAAAATTTTAGGGTCACTTCAAGTTACAATGTGCAGTTTTAAATCAGAAATTCAAATGTCAAGGCCAGTCTTGGCCAGTTTGGCTCAGTGGATAGAGCATCGCCCTGTGGATTGAAGGGTCCTGGGTTCGATTCCATACCTTAGTTGCAGGCTCGATCCCAGGCACGTGCAGGGGGCAACCAAGTGATTGATGTTATTCTCTCTCTGTCTCTCCCTCTCCTGTCCACTCTCTCTAAAAGTCAATGGAAAAATATTATCATATGAGGATTAACAGATTCAGATGTTAGGTCCAATTATTGATCAACATTTTAATCTTCATTCAAGGGTAAAACTTACCCTTTCCCTCCAGTTCTCAGCCAGGGCCTGGTAGACAGAAAAAGGATGTCCTTTGTTCTTCCTCCATCACTTTCCTCCCCTGACACCTGGGGGCGATACTTCCCTGTGGGCAGAGTGCCTGGAACAATGATTGTTAATAAATAAGCACTGTTTTCTGAGTGGATTCTATTCATAAATGGAATCTGTATGTACAAACTATGGGGGTGCACAGGCTGGAACAGTACATGTAAGCTACTGAGGGTATGGGATGTCTTCTCTTAACAATGCTCCCTTGTTGGAGGGAGGTTTGAGGGACCTCAGAATAGGCTGGCTAGTGGGAAGTGTCCCCGGTGATGATGTGAAAGTGATTGAGAGAGAGAGCAACCATGGCATATGTAGGTCATTTTAATGAGTGCCCTTCCTTGTCTCGCTTTTAGCTACACGAAAGGAGATTTAGACTTCACTTATGTTACCTCCAGGATTATTGGTAAGTTTCTCTTGTGCATTTACTGCTCAGATTCAGCTTTCAGTTGCTGCTCATCACCACCCCCGAGCCGTTTAACCCACCTTCTTTCTGTGTGACCCTCCAGTGATGTCCTTTCCTCTGGACAACGTCGACATAGGATTCAGGAATCAGGTTGATGACATTCGGAGCTTTTTGGATTCTAGACATCTCGACCACTACACGGTGTACAATCTGTCGCCCAAGTCCTATCGAACTGCCAAGTTTCACAGCAGGGTAAGCAGTTTTCACTCTGGGATCACATGGTTGAAGACGTAACAGAATATTTCTCCTCTTAAGAGCTATCCCCAAAGCCTTTGCCCTGTGGCACATGAAGCTGGAAAACTACACACTGTGCATATTTCTAGTCACAAAGTACTTATTAGGCTTTAATTGTATATTCTGAAGATTTTTGGGAGGTGAAAATATCTGTCGATAAAATACCATCTGAGTTGGGGCCTCATACCAGTTGTGGTTTGTTGCTCAGATGTTAGGGTGCATTGATCGGAGGCTCAGTTGGAGCTTGAACTGCTACATAAAGCATTTGGCTACCTTTTTACTACAACACTCATCAGGCCTGTACCTGTCCTTATTGCTACTTGGGCATCACGATGAGGGGTGTAGCTAGATCAGTACAGACATACTAGTATTAATGGGAATAGCCTTTTGACATTCAGTAAAATTGCTTCTTCTAGAAGTGAAGCTAGCACATAAATAGCCTACACTGTAGGCTATTGGTAATCCTATTACTGATATTAATAGTAGTGAGTGCAGTAGCCAACACTTACAGAGTGTGTACACTGCGCTAGGGACTTGCCATGCAGTATCTCAGTAAATTCTCTCAACAGCCCTCTGAAGTAGATGGAGAAACTGAGGCATAGAGGTAAGGTAACTTGTCCAAGACCTCACCATTAATACTGACACTGTTGCCGGAGAAAGCTGGGTTGTCTCTGAAGGAGCTTTTTGCAGGTAGGCTGAGAAATATTCCTCGTTCAGGAGCTATGAGAGCTGGCTTGGGTTTAAATCTAATATCAAGCACGATATTTTTTGTTGCTGAATTCTTTTTGTTTTAAATTACATTTATTGGGATAACATAATTTTATACAAGCTTCAAGTGTACAATCCTAGAATACATCATCTGTATATTGCATTGTGTGTGCACCACCCAAAGTGTGGTCTCCTTTTGTCCCTGAATTCTTGATTTACTCACCAAGATAAGGCCTTTTCTCTCTCAAGAACATCTTCAAATATTTTGACTTAGCCTTTAGATATGTTTGTTTCTGCAACTGCATTTGGGTCTTGTGATAAATAGGAAGGGTTTTCAATACATTGGACCCTTTAATATATTTTTTAATTGATTTTTTTTTTGAGAGAGGAAGAGAGAGGGATAGAGAGTTAGAAACATCGATGAGAGAGAATCATTGATAAGCTGCCTCCTGCACACTCCCCACTGGGGATGTGCCTGCAACCAAAGTACATGTCCTTGGCCAGAATCAAACCTAGGTCCTTTCAGTCTGCAGACCGATGCTCCATCCACTGAGCCAACTGGTTTTGGCTATACATTGGACTCTTTAGAAGTGAAACCTGATTTCTAATATTTAAGATGGCAGCTGATGGTCTATGCTGTGTATCTAGCACCTCAGCTTTGATGCCAGAACACATTGTGCTCCAAATCCCAGTTGCCACCGAGCGTGTCTAGTGTTTACGCCTCCGTTTCCAGAGCTGAGGGTGATCTGCATGCTTCCTAAGATTCCTGCCCCAATGTTCAATATGGAAAGGGAGGGTTTTGTTAAGGACTCTGTCTTCTCCCCAAATAGCATGAGGTAACCCAGCAGTTCTCAAACTTTACTGTACATCAGAGTCACCTGAAGGGCTTGGTAAACACCCAGGCCCAGCATTGCCGATTCAGCAGGATAGGGGTGCAGCGAGATTCTGCATCGCTAACAACTTCCTGGTGCTACTCTTCTGTCGCCATGGGGACCACTCTGAGAAGCGCTAATGAAACCACTCTGAACTGGTTTGTTCTAAACTGGCATTCTCTAACAGAGAGTTTAAGTGCACCTCCTTCAAATCCTCTATACTATCTGCTCTTCCAACGCTTATATTACCTAATGCAGAGCAAGTGATGTCAAACAAGATGCGGGTAGACATTCTGTTTCTAACTCAGATGCAAATCTTTTGAATTGATTTTATTTTTTTTCTTGTTTGGAGACAAAGTCAGTGCCATCATTTTTAAAACGAAGGCACTGTGGAACATCCTGCATAGTATTTCATAGAAATTTTATTTGATCTGAAAAGATTTGTGATAGTCTGGAACATTTTCCTTCTGGAAGTAAATAAAGATATAGTATCATTATAGAAGCATTTGTACATATGAAGATGTCTCTTTGGGTAGTATTTATAAAAGCAGTCACGATAAAGATATTTAAAGAAAGCTGACTATAGCGTAACTACGTATTTTGTGACCAATCTTAACAGTCTTACCAAAGGAACCAGGAATTAATTACACATTGACTTTTAACTGCCATAGGTGGCTAGCTCTCGCTTGCCTTAAAAGGGCAAGAAGCATGTTTATTTGATTTGATACCTAGAATAGTGCCTGGAATGGCTAAACATGTCTCAGACAAATGAATATGTCAAGGACTGTTAAACACACAGATATAAAATAAATATTTGGTTCTTGTTTCCAAGGCACGTACGCCTAGTTGGAGAGAGAACCCAAGACATTCTAAAGACAACTGCAAATAATATGTTCAGTACCTACTGAGGGAAATTAGCGAAGGGAGACAGCAGTGAGAGCTTACCTTGAAGCATGAGTAAGTCTTGTAGAGGTGAAAGGTGTGCTGTTATTTCTATTTTTAAAAATATATATTTTTATTGACTTCAGAGAGGAAGAGAGAGATTGAAACATCAATAGTCAGAGAGAATCATTGATCAGCTGCCTCCTGCACATCCCCTGCTGGAGGTCAAGCCTGCAACCCAGGAATGTGCCTTTTACCGGAATCGAACCTGGGACCCTTCAGTTTTCAGGCCAACATTCCATCCACTAATCCAGCTAGGGCTGGTGTTATTTCTTTTCCATGTAAATTGTAGAATGTGTCTTACAAGGTTCTTCATGGTCTGGCTGCTACTCTGGCTTCATCTTTCACTGTTCTTATGCCCAGAAAACCCAGGCTCCAACCAGGGAACACACACACATACTGTCTCTGCATGAGCTGCTCTCTCTCCCTAAAAAGTCATCCATCATCACACCGCCCCCACCTCTTCCTTGTTTACCTGACTTCACTAAGAGGGGGATTTCCACAAAGATTTCCCAACCGTTTCTCTCTAAAACACAGGAGTGCGTAACACCTTAGCTCTTTGCAGACAGTCCCAGAACTCTGTCCAATAGATCTAGACCCTCTGGCGGAGCTCCTGCAAGCTTCAGTTGCCTATCAGGGAGATAGTCCTAAAACCTTGGTTTATTCAGCTTGGCTCTGTTTCTAATGTGGCTTTTTTCAAGCTCCTAGTTCTTTCTCTCCTCAGTACTAACTCTATGGGCTCGTTTGCATCTCATTGTTGCATTACTTAGAAAAGTTCTTACTTCTCATCTTCCAATCCATGAAGCCAGAAACCATTTCCTCCTCCTTTCAGGTCAGTGGCGGGCTAGGTCTGCAGTTAAATATTATTTTAATAAGTGCATATGGCAGTGTTCCATAAATAGCCAGTGTTGGAAAAGACTAAATAGGAGACTGGTTTTATTTACAGACTCACAGGAGTCCTACTCTGTCTTTATTTCGGAACTCAGTTACTTTACATTTGTATTGTGTGATATGTGCTTGGGGATACGGGCAGTAGTGGCAGAGACAAGCTGTTTCCATGCTTTTGTCAATAAATGGAAAATGGGATCAGTGGCCTCCAAATCCAGCCTGGCTCTAAAGTTCTAACATCTAACTAATGCGTTCCAGTGCCTCTTTGAGCTTCCTTCTCCTTCTGCTGGAAGGAAGATGTGCTGCTGGTAGCATAGAAAAAGAACCCCATTGGCTGGCCGGTGTGCTTAGTGGTTGAGCATCAACCCATGAACCAGGAGGTCATGGTTTGATTCTCCATCAGGGCACATGCCAGGTTGTGGACTTGATCCCCAGTAAGGGGGAAAGGGTGTAGGAGGCATCCAATCAGTGATACTTTCTTATCATTGATGTTTCTACCTCTCACTTCTTCTATGAAATCAAAAAAAAAAAAAAAGAAAAAGAAAAAAAAAAAAGAACCCCAGCTGATTCTTTTAGATTTTCCCTTCATGTTGCCTTTTTCCAACCTCATGTTCTTGTAGGATTTCTTCCCTTTGGGGAATGACTTGATTGTTTAAAAATATATTATCAACTTGGGCTTCTTTAAGAGGTCATGATTGTTTGCAGGTGAACCCTCTTCCCCCCCCCCCCACCCTCTTTTCTTCCAGAGTTCCCCAAAGTTCCTCAGTGTTTCTCTTTGGTTTGCTGGTTGGTGAGGGGGGTCAACCAAGGAGCAGTGATGCCTCATCTTCCCCGCTGCCACCATGCATCGGTGTGAGGACGGGGAGGGAAGGGGTAGAAAGAAATCCTGGCCTGGGGGCCAGAGGGCTGTGGATCCCCACATTGTAGCTCTGTCAACTTTGGTGACTTGAATGTTTTAACTGTAGTAAAATGTGACCATTACATGAACCCCCACAAACATACAATGGGATTGTAATAGATACTTGTTAGACAGTGTGGTATAATGGAAAGCTCCCAAATTTACTGCTTTTATAACATACACAGACTTAAACTTCAGAAATGTCCCTAAGTTCATATCTTAGCTGTTCCTGTTCCTGGGCAAGGTACCTTACCGCACTTGAGACTCAGTGTTCTCCTCTGTAAAATGGGGCTGACAATAAGAATACCTGTCTCACTAATACTCAGGACATGTTCTCTAGGTTTGCATAAGAAGGAAGTCTGACAGCAGTGCCTGCCCTAGAGTAAGCATTCAGTAAGTGGTAGCCATGATTAACACGGGTAATAATAAAATGCCGCAATAAATGATTAACTGAAATACCCCTGTCCTCCAAAAATGGTTTCAGATTCTGAAAACACTTGATATGGCTCTTCAGTCTGATTTTCCATAGCAACTTGTGCTCTAAATGCTTAGCGAATTGGATGCTTGCGCCCTCTTATCTTGTGCTTGGGGCGACAGACAGATGAACATTGAATGGCATCCAGCCTGGGTTCTGTTTTGGCCTCTTTCCCCACTGGGTGACATCATGGCAGCCTTGTAATCCATATGGCGTGTTCTGTGCCCTGCAGCTCCGGGAGGTGGTCAAATGGACTGGAGACAGTACAATGAAGTGCCACCTGTCCTAAGACAGTGGTGCTTACTGCGTGAAACTGTGAACGAGAGAGAGAGAGAGAGAGAGAGAGAGAGAGAGAGAGAGAGAGAGAGAGAGAGAGGAAAAAATAGCTTGCAGTGACTGAATTCCTTTTTAGAATGTTTAGGGTTTGTTTATGCCTTAATGTTTTTTCCCCTTTAGACAAAGCACATGCTTTAAAAAATTCTAATTGTATGTTTGCCCAATGATGTACAATTATATGTCAAGTAAATATGTAATTATAGAGTACTTTAAATTAATATTATTTACTTGATTGATTTAATTGTTCTGGAGCTGTTAGTCTATTGTGCTAAGAACAATTTAGCAACTTTTAGCTGAGACTCATTATAGATAGTGATAGTGTTTACACGGGTGACATATAGTTTCTAAGAAGTTTAGAAGTATTATTGGGGAGTCCTAGCTGGTTCTGATGTGATTAAAAAAAAAAAAAAAGGGCCAGAAACAGCCCTGAATAATGTTGAGTAAAAGGAACGTGTCGCGGAGTTTAAGCCAACAAAGGCCCAATACTGGGTGACCCTGCATTGTTTGGTAGCTATGTCAAGCATTTCAAACATTTTGTTTAATAAACCATATCTGTCATTCCTAAAGGTATAGAAAAGTGGTTAAACAGAAAGGTTCCTCATAATCATCTTGTAGAAAAAGTTATAAATTAACCGAAAAGAATGAGCTTTCTTGGCAGCCCCTGAGAGCGAAACATCATGTGTGATTATTATCTGGTTACCAAAAATGGGCAAGCCAAACAGATTGCTTCTACATCCCTTGCTCCACTATGAAATATTAGGAGTTTGAGACATTTGGGTTTTCTTAGGCCAGTGGTATTAGTGTTATAGAGCACTTTCTGATGATAGCATCCACACAAAACCTGCTCTTTCTCCAGAATTCCCGACATCAGCAAATGGCACCTGCTTCCATTCTTTTATCCAGCCATTCATGCTGGAAGCCTGGAGTCATCCCCAACTCTCTCCCATTTCTCTTTTAAGTATACCCCTCCTCGCTGATGCACTGCCACCATGAGATCCCTCACCTACTCTTGTTGTATAGGTATTCCATTTCCTCTTTACTCCTTAATCCCTCAAGTTTTTTGCACCTGCTGCTACTCATCTAGGTCTAAGTCCCACCATCCCTCCCTTAGACTTCTCAGCAACCTCCTCACTGAGCTCTCTGACTACCCTCCTGTAATTCATACCCATTATTAATTCTGGATCCTGAAGGTTCTTTGGAAAATGCAGATCTTGGCATCACTCTCTTACTTTACCCAGCTCCTGACAAGGCCTGACCCCCTTTAGTTTACACTCTCACCATACAGGGTTCATTTATTTTTCCCCCTGTCTGACCTCAGGGCTTTGAACTGGCAGTTACCTGATGCAATAATAGTAATAGCTACATTTATTGATCACATTGTGTGTGTCATATGCTGAGCTAAGCCCTTGAAATACATTCTCATGTAGTACCCACAACCCTGTCAGGTAGGTAGATAGGTATCATTTACCACATTTCATAAAGAAAGGCTCAAAGAGATCACAAAAGTTGCCCAAGTCTAAGCTTCTTTGTTATTTATTAAATTAGTGAATATCTAATCAGTTGAAGGTGATGTCTCATACTTTGAGGGAAACAATAATCTCAACCAGTGTACTGCAGCAGTAAAATTATTTATAGTCAGAAAACCAAGTTGCAGTGCTGGCACTGACCAGCAGCATGATTTTAGACAGGACAACCCCTGAGAAGGAGTTTTCTCTTCTGCAAAATGGGGTTTGTATCAATGCCTGTCTTAAATGATTGTTGATTGGATTAGAAAAGAGCCAAGCCGAACACAATCAGGGCTCTATGACTATTTCAGTTACCATTGACATGCAATAGGATGTGTTAAATGAATATGTGTGTTAGATGAATACAAATGTTGGAGGTTGGCCCCATGGTGTTGTGAGTCCCTTCATTAAGAGAGGTAGAAGTAAGAGCCCTGGACAAGGTTTGGCTCACTTTCATGTGCTCATGAGAGCTGGTATAAAATTAGGAATAGTCCAATATTTATAAGATAAACCTATACTTAAATATCTAGTATTCAGGTAAAAACATCTTATACTTTACAGTCATTAAATTTAGAGCTTTGTGCAGTGGGTAGTATTATAACCAATGAGGTATATCTGAGACGTAATTATTGTTAATTGGAATAAAAATTTGGGTAACCTTACAAAATACAAATAAAATCCAAATATATAGTTTAAGTGATCTCGCTGAATTTAAAATGTATTTTAAAATGTGTTTTCATACCCTTATGAAAGCAATTTTTTTTAATGAAAAAAAAAATTGCTGGATTAAGTAACTCTTCTTCCATTCTCAATTGTTCCTGAGGATAGAGTGTCACTCCAGGAAGCAGTTGTTTGGCATCCTACCTGTTGGAGAGGAAGTCACGAAGGGAATTAATTTCCTTTCACTGTGTTTCCTTAGGTTTCAGAATGCAGTTGGCCCATTAGGCAAGCCCCCAGTCTGCACAACCTCTTTGCTGTGTGTCGGAATATGTATAACTGGCTACTGCAGAACCCCAAAAACGTCTGTGTTGTCCACTGCTTGGTGAGTAACCTTTATTGTTGTCATTGTCTGCAGTTATTTGGTATAGTTCGGTCAAATACAGCTTGCCCTATGCAGACTGATGAGCAGGTAACATTTAGGTTGAATTATTATTTATTGAGATCCTACTTAGGAGTTTGGTGGTCTGAGGTATCTAAAAATGAAGACCGACCTTATTATTCTTACCTTAAAATTTGAATATTAGTGGGAGAGGCAGACATGTACATAGATCGCATCATTCAGAGCCTCTAGAATGTGCTAAGTATTACAAAAGAGGTGAAGCAAGGTTGTATAGGTAAAAATCTCATTGAATTGACATGAGTAAAGTTGCCATAAGTACACTGGAATATTTAATTTTTCTTACTCTTTTAAAATAATTAAATAAAATTTTCAATTACGGTTGACATGCAATATTATATTAGTTTCAGATATGGACATAGTGATTAGAGATTTATAGAACTTACATAGTGATCACCCTGATAGGTCTAATACCCATCTGACACCATACATAATCATTGCAATATTATTGACTTATTCCTTTTTCTTTCCTTACTTTTTGTGTTTGAATAAAAATGAAATAAAATGACACCTATGCCATTGTAAGTAATCACAGAAAATATTGACTGTGTTTTCAGGCTTTGCTGACCACTGACTTTATACAGTCCATTTTTCTAACCCTTTTTTCCAGAGACTTCATACTTATTGTTTAAAACTCAACTTTCAATAAAGTCTTTTTGAGTATTTTCACAATATGACATTTCCATTATGTATCTAAGTGCTTCTGTGGCATTTCATGCATTGCATCATCATATTGGAGAGCTCCTACTCTACCATGAGTACCTTACAGGCAAGAACTGTATCTTTCTTTGCACCCAGATATGAAGGGTTTTGAATAAATTGCTGACAATATAAGCAAATGAACACACAAATGGAATCTGAACATAAATATTGGAAATATTCATTGCTTCTGTAAACTTCAGGGTCTATATATTTTTACTATGATCTTACTTAATGATTCTCTCTTTTATTCTTGAAAGCCAGTTGGCTAAGAGGGAAAAAAGCAGAACACTTTTTCTTCTTTCCACTTCAAATACTTAACTTTTAATATAAAAACTAATAAAAAAAATTGTAAAAGACCAGCATGGCAAATAAAAAAAGGGACCCATATCTAAGCACCTAGAGCATATTAAAAGAGTGTCTGGAGGACTAAATCCTAGAGAATTAAGATTGAGAAAAGTATATTTTTTTTAAAGAAAAATGTCCTTGGAATAAGGACAACAATAAATGCTTGAGGCACATGGTATAATCTTATCTTAACTCCTTTATGCTGTTCCTTTATCAGCCAACAAATGTCAATCAAGAAAGGGTATAGCAGTAATTAAGACAAAGCTGATAGATAGTAAAAAAGCCTCACAATACTGAACAATATCCACTCTCTAGACTTAAATTATGGGAAGAATGCCGAAAGCACAGGGAAAGCAATTATGGATCCGTTATGTAATATGAGGAAACTAGAAGAGGTGCCAGGCAAGCAAGAGAGATTGTTTCTAAAAGACAGAGGAGGTTAATCCTGGAAAGTTACATCTGGTGAGACTGATGGCAATTCAGGCAACATTTTCATATAAGTTTTTCACACATATTTTTGCACAGATGATTTTTACCTCTTAGAAAAACACCAGAAAGTTTTCTGGGGTCTTTCTCAGCATCTGATAGGGTTCAGGAATCTGGAAGAGGGGCTGTGCATAAATGAATGAAGAGGCTAGAGAAGAAATATGAATTTGGAAGACATGGGGGAAAACCAGCTGGAAACTTAGTTCTAGTTACTAAGTTATCCGAATATCTGGACCCCTAGCTTTTTTTTTTTTTTTTTTTTTTACATTTTTTTAATTAAATTATCATCTGTGTACATATTTTAACATTGCCCTCCACCCCATACATACCCTCCCTTCCCAAGAACCCCTAGCTTTTTATTAACACATTTTGCCCTAATGCAAAGCAGATATACATATCAAAGATAAGTTTTGGTAAACAGCAAAATATTATCAGGTTGGGGGAACTTCCCTCAGCTGTATAGAAGCTGGCAATAATATTTAGATCGTAAGCCCTGCTGAAGCTCCAAGTTCCATCAACCTTTTGATGAACTTCTTGCATTTATGACCTGCTGGAATTAGCCTCCAGCAAAAGTTATTCATTATGAACACACATATCAAACCACCTGAACATTTTCAAAAAGACTAATATGTTAGTAGAGACAGTTTATTGGATTTCTGCAAGATATTTACCAGTTTCTTGTAATCAAGTTGGAGAAACTTGGACAAGGTTGTTATACATTTAGTGAAATCATGGTTAATATCTGCTTCCAAAGATAGATGGCTAATGGATCTGCAACTTCCCAAGGTTGCATTCAGTTGCCTTTTTAATTAACTTTTATTGGTTTCAGAGAGGAAGTGAGAGGGAGAGAGAGATAGGAACATCAATGATGAGAGAGAATCTTTGATCAGCTGCCTTCTGCACGTCCCCCACCAGAGATCAAGTACCCAACCCTGGCATGTGTCCTGACCCGTAATCGAACCAGTAACCTCTTGGTGCATGGGTTGATGCTCAACTATAATACTAAGTCACACTGGCCTGGCCTAATTCCTCTCTTTTAATGGCAAGTACAGCCAGTGTCAGTGATGAGTGGCTGATTGGACCACGTTTATGACAAGTTTATGCATTTTCTTTGGCAGGATGGACGGGCAGCATCGTCAATTCTGGTTGGTGCTATGTTCATTTTCTGTAATCTCTACTCAACTCCTGGCCCAGCTGTTCGATTGTTATATGCAAAGCGACCAGGAATCGGACTCTCGCCATCCCACAGGAGGTAAAGTAAGCTTAGATGTAGGGTAGGCACAAACATACTCAAATTGGAGCCATGTGTTTTAAAAAAAACAAACACACACACACACACCACCCACACAAGCCTGTTTAGATAATTGACTTATCTTCTCTTTAGTCACAGTTTCATCCTTTCTCTTATTTAAATTACATCTCCTTGCCTTTCTTTTGGATCAAAAGTGCTTCTGATGATAGTATTCTACAAATTTTTCAGTGCCAGCCTTTAACTGATAAATATGATCTGCTAAGTCAAATAGAATAGATGTTCAAATATTGAGCCAGTACTAAGCTCCCATAACCTTTTGCATTTAATAAATACCCCTTCATCAGTTCTCTGGGGGAAGTACAGCAGTGTCACTAGTAAAAGCTTTCCTGCATTATTGGTTGCATTCTCTTTAGCTAGTTATGTTAAAGAAATGAGCATAGTAAATTTTTATTATAAGTTAATAATTTGCAAAAACGAACATCATAGCAAAGATCAATGGTTTCTTTCTTCTGGTGTGATGGGCGCCAACAGAATGTACATCTTCTGTCTCAGGTACCTGGGCTACATGTGTGACCTCCTAGCAGACAAACCCTACCGGCCCCACTTCAAGTCTCTCACGATTAAGTCGATCACTGTCAGTCCAGTCCCCTTTTTTAACAAACAGAGAAACGGATGTCGCCCATACTGTGACGTGCTGATTGGAGAGACCAAAATATATACGACCTGCGCAGATTTTGAACGGATGAAGTAAGTCATAATTATTTCAGTTCTTGTGAACTGCTCTATTCTTTTGAACATTGTGAGGGCTATGTCATTGTGAAATGATTAATTTTTTTTTTTTTTGTAAAGTGTATCATAAGTGGTAACCATAAAAAAGCACATAAATCAAGGATGGCATAGCCCCCTTTTAAATGGTGATACAACCCAAGGGATTAACAAGAGCTGTAACAAGGGTTAAGGGACAGAGGACTTGGATGTTTTAAAAGGAGATTTGGTGAGCATAAAGGAAGTATCAGGGAAGAATGGGGTTTCCAGGTGAACTGTGAGGTGGATGGTGATGTAGTCAAAGACATTACAGAATCTGAAAGAGCAGCTGCCAGTAGGAGGTGAGAGGAGGTGTGAAGAGAAGGGAGTGGATGGTAACATGAAATGAAATTAGTTTTGAAAAGACTGAATTTGTGGATTAGTATCTAAGACCCTCACAGAGGGTCAGAGGACCTGGATGTTTTAAATAGGGATGACTTTGATGAGCATTTCAGTGCTATTTCTATACTGATCTCCGTTGGACTTTTCATTCCCTCTACCTCTGTTTTTACCACTCATTTAAAGTTATGTAGAGGCAGATATGTCAGGGCGAGATGTATGTGAAGAAATGAAACCTGTGTAGTAGAGATGGCGATTATTTATCTAGAAGTCCAAATGGGATGAAGAGAGAGGCAGTGGCACCAGAGCAATGCCATCCATCCATGAAGGACCAATTTGCACCCAGTTGGCACAGGCTATGCTTCTACTTTGCTAGAGACAGGAAATGGTTCCTGGGCCCAGACCTGGGCAAACAGGTCCCTTGGCCAGAGCCATGGTGTCTATACCTGTGCAGTTATACCCAATTGGACTCTTTCATGTATGTTGCTGTCTCTGTTTAAAGAGAATACCGTGTCCAAGATGGGAAAATCTTCATTCCCTTGAGCATCACTGTGCAAGGAGATGTGGTCGTTTCCATGTATCACGTGAGGTCAACCATCGGGAGTCGGCTACAGGCCAAGGTATGGTTTTATGGCATAAGCTTCTCAGAGCATTCAGTGGGAATATTTCAGTCTCTCTTCTACATCACTTTGAGCTTGAGTGTATTATGTATTAGAATCAGAAGGAACCGTTAAAGAGTGCAAATGCCCATCTCCCTCATTTTACAGAGAAGGGAACTGAGGCTCAGAGAGATTATGACTTGCCCAGATGACTTTGCTAGAAGGTGGCAGCCCAAGAACTTCTAGCTAACCTTGCTCTTTAGAAGCTTGTGCCTTTTTATAATATCCCAGTTGGATCAGGATGTGGGGGTTTATTTCTATTAAGGAAGTGGGATTAAGTAATTACATATTTTTATTGCAATAAAATTCGCCATTTTATTTATTTATTTATTTTTAATATATTTTATTGATTTTTTTACAGAGAGGAAGAGAGAGGGATAGAGAGTTAGAAACATTGATGAGAGAGAATCATCGATCAGCTGCCTCTTGCACACCCCCCCACTTGGGATGTGCCCGCAACCAAGGTACATGCCCTTGACCAGATTCGAACCTGGGATCTTTCAGTCCACAGGCCGACGCTCTATCCACTGAGCCAAACCGGTTTCAGCAAATTTGCCCTTTTAAAACGTACAGTGCAGTTTGCTTTTAGTATTTTCAAAGGGTTTTACTGCCACCAGTACTGTCTAAATCCAGAACATTTTTATCACCCCCAAAGGAAACCCTATGCTATTAACAGTCACTGCCCATTCCCCTTCCTCCATCCCCTGGGGCCTAGGCCATTATTATTCTACTTTCAGTCTCCATGGATTTGTCTATTTTGGGCATTTCTTATAAATAGAATTATAGAACATAAGGTCTTTTGTGACTGGCTCTTTTCACTAAGCATAATGCTTTCCAAGTTCATTTATGCTGTAGCATGTATTAGTACTTCATTCCTTTTTATTTATTCACTCATTTTAAAATCTTTATTGTTGAAAGTATTACATATGTCCTCTTTTTTCTTCCATTGAACCCTTATTGCCCGCCCCCACCCCCTACCCCAAGCCTCCACTATCCTATTGTCTGTGTATGCATACAAGTTCTTTGGTTATATTTTTCCACCCACCCAAGAGTTTCATTCCTTTTTATGGTCAAATAATATTCCATTATATGACTATACTGCCTTTTATTAATCTCTTCATCAGTTGGCTGGCATTCAGGTGATTGCCACTTTTTGGATATTACTACAAGTCATTGCATTTTTAATTCATCAAATATTTGCTAAGTGCATGCTCTGTACCAGTCACTGCCTAGGTGTTTAGGACTGAGAACAATAAGACTGTGTCCCTGCCTTTAGAAAACTTAGCCTAGCAGGGGAAATTCACACATGTACAAATGTCCACAGCCATGTTGGGGATTGCATTAGATGTTATAATGGGAGCCATTGGCTTAGCCAGTGGTGACCCAGAAAGGCTACAGAGGGGCTATGACCATTTAAGGCAGGTTGTGAAGGTTGAGTTTATCAGGTTGGAGCAGGGGTATATTGGATGGAAGGAGTGGAATGAGTCAAAGCATAGCAGTATGCAAGCACGTGGGACATTCGCCGATGAGGAAATGGCTTGCCTGGCCAGAACTCATGGAGAGGAGAGGCTAGAAATAAAGCGAGTCCTGTTCCAAATAGGGAGAAGGGTGTCATTTAATATTCATAATTCATAAAGGTTCAGACTTAGAAACAGTTGGAGGTGCATGGCTCCTCAAAATATAGCCTTTTGGTCTGATTCCCTTTCTGCTGATTGATTGAAATGTGCTTCTCTCATGTATCTTTAGGTGACCAACACTCAAATATTCCAGCTTCAGTTTCACACTGGATTCATACCACTGGAAACCACTGTGTTAAAGTTCACCAAGTGAGTGCTACTTGGGCTGAAATCCCTTTTCAATTTGTGCAGCTGTGAAATGGTGGGAGCCAGTTGCTCAAGGCTCATTCATGCTGTGCTGCAGGGCCCCTGAAGCTGCCGCTGGACTGTTGTGTGTAGCTTAGCAACACAGAGAGGCTGGCCTTATTTCTCTGTGGTTTTTTTTTTCAATTAAAAAATGTTTTTATTGATTTTTTAGAAAGAGAGGGATAGAGACAGAAGAGAGAGAGGAGAGAGAGAGAGAGAGATTGTTGTGAAAGAGTACCCCCTGCATGCCCCCTACTGGAAATCGAGCTTGTAACCTGAGCATGTGCCCACACCGGAAATCAAACCGGTGACCTCTTGGTGCATGGGATGATACTCAACCAACTGAGCCACACTGGCCAGGGCAAGGCTGGTGTTTTGATTTGTCTTGAACACAAATTGTTCAAGAGACTTCAAATTAAGAAGGCCTAAAATTCCAAGTGAAGGAACAAGGGGGAACAAAGGAATATCAATGCTGTGGTCCTTTGCATCTGTGTGTCCTTTTGTGTTTTTCAACAGGGGTGGCAGTGTCATCAGCAGTATGATATGAATGATAGCCCTTCAGACTGGATGCCAGATCACAGCATTGAAGAGGGTTTTAGGAGATCCCCTCGTGCCAGACATTAACCTTTAGTTGCTGTATTAAAGTGTGGTCTCAAGAGCTCAGGGGGGTGGCCACTGCTGGGTCGGGGAAGGGATAGGCATTCAAGAGCTCAGGGTGGTGGCCTTGAACCTCTTTCACTATTTTAATAACTGATTTGGCCCTGCTGGTGCATACTGGCTGTATGTATCTCCCCTGCCTTCTGGAATGCTTTCACATGTGGTAATATCCAAGTTCTTTGAGTAGGCATTATTCTCCTCTTTTCTCTAGAGGAGAAAACTGAAGCTCAGACCAGTAAAGTAGTTTATCTGGTTAACGATTGCGTCTCAGGGTTAACTGAGGAGTCAACCTCCAATGGTTTTTGTGCTGGACATTGTACTGGTTCCGTTTGTTTTTCACTGATCTTATTCTTTTACTTCCCTATTTAGGCCTGAGTTGGATGCATGTGATGTACCAGAAAAATATCCTCAACTATTTCAGGTGACTCTGGATGTAGAACTACAGCCCCAAGACAAAGCGGTCGACTTAACCCCACCCTGGGAACATTACTGCACGAAGGATGTCAATCCCAGCATCCTCTTCTCGTCTCACCAGGAGCATCAAGATACACTGATCTTAGGAGGTATGAGTCACCTGATGGCTTTGTTTTCAGCATGAAGGCTAGGTGTTGGTGTTATTTATCCCATTGTCCTATTTCCCGTGTTTCATTGATTCTGCGTGGCCTTTTGTCTTGCAGGACAGCCTCCAATAGATATCCCTCCAGACAACCCCAGGCATTTTGGGCAAGGTGGCTTCTTTTCCACTCTCTGTTGGCAAGGTACTTGCAAGCATTTCTTTAAACTTACACAGTTAGCTGATTGTCTCGTGGCTCTTTTGTAAAGGTGGTGAGTTCTCCAAGCAGCCTAAAGTAAAGCAGCACATTGCCGAAACCAGTTTGGCTCAGTGGATAGTCGGTTTGCAGACTGAAAGATCCCAGGTTCGATTCCGGTCAAGGGCATGTACATTGGTTGCGGGCACATCCTTGGTAGGGGGTTGCTGGAGGCAGCTGGTCAATATTTCTCTCACATTGATGTTTCTAGCTCTCTGTCCCTCTCCTTCTCTGTAAAAAATCAATAAAATATATTTAAAAAAATAAAGTTAAGTAGCACTTAGAAGTTATCCACAATCCTTATTTGACACTGTCTTGGCTCATGCCTTTTTTAGGTCAGGCAGCTTCCCCACTTTCAAGTCTATAAATGCTTAGACGGTTGCAAAAGGCTATTGTAAGCCGAATGCTACCTTTTCTCTCGATGCAGTATTTTGGATCCCATTTTTTCCTGGGTTTACAAACAAGCATGGTCTTTTTTAGGATCTTCCTTTACTCTGCTGACACACACATTAACTCTATCTCCTGTCCTCAGCTAATATTCTAAAACTATAAAATCTGGCATTGCCCCCAGAGGGCTCTAACCATTCGTGGGGTAGAACTGAGCTTTCCTGGTGCAGGGAAGGCAACCACTGTGCCCATACTTGCTACTTGGCTGTAACCACCATGGCGGAAATTGGGCTCCACCACAGTATCGTTTTTCTGCTGAACCTGGAGATGTTTCAGAATCTTTCTAACATAACACTTCAAATTACTGCCAACAGTAGATTGACATTCTACTGATACCCATCTGCCATCCTGTTACCAGCTAGGGTTCTTGGGTCCCCCAGGATAGAAATAAAAAGGAACCACCCAAGATATTCCTAAATGTCATTGGACTTGCACCAGGTGTGAGGGAGATAGCACAGGAGCACAGGGTTCCCAACTGGCACCGCAAATGGCTTTGTTGGGTTGTTTTTAATAGGAGGTGGATAAAGTGGGCATGCATAAGAGTTGGGCAAGGCATGATTTTTTCTATGTCAGGCCCAACCACTTCTTCATTCTTTTGGGTTGCTTAGCAGCAATCTGCTCCTTAGGGCAAGAAGGTGGTGTCGCTCACTACTGCCACCCTAAGAAGTTTATACAGTGGTCAGATCTTAATTGCACATGTGGATCAGGGGTTTCCAAGACTTCAAGGAAGTGGAGGGATGGTTGCATTTATGTGTTTATTTTATATGGTGTTCTTTCTTACTATCTGGCATTCCTTTGGCTCCAGGCCCAAGTCCCTTTGCTGCTCAATCCTTGCTTTTAGGGCTTGCTGAAATGAACTGAAATAAGGACTCCTTTTATGAAATGGGTAGGAAACTGGCTTTGGCAATAGTCTACTTACAGTTTTCTTGATGGACTCTACTCAGCTGGCTGTGTGAGCATAAGACATTTTCCCCATGCCTACACAGAATTTCCCATGTTTGGTGAAAAAAAAAATTGTTCATAGAATTCTGTTGAATTGAAAGGTTTATATTTAGAAACAGGACCAAAAACATTAAAAAAAAAAAAAAAAAAAAAAAGGCAAATTCGGGAAATCTAGACAGCAGGTAGATGTCTGAGCTCCCTCTTGTTCCCCCATATCTTGTTTTATCACACAAGGGCTTTCAATAAAACCCCATGTTTTCCTGCAATGTTAGTAAGCAATTTAGAAATCATTCCTGTTAGGCTCTGAAATAGGTGGTTAGCACAAACGCACAATTTCTTTTCCTGATTTTGCAGAGCCAGGTGTGTTTAGGAATGCAGACCTTTTTGGATTTTAGTGAGTAATATGGTACTTACATTGTATCTGACTAAGCATTCCTAGGGGCATTTCTGACAACAACTTGTAATCAAACCTACTAACACTTCTGCAGTGAAACATATAAAGAGTAACCCTCAGTGGAAATAAATCGAGATTTATAAATACTTTCACACCAGGTCTGGTCATATTGTTCTACCAACTTAGTTTGCACCAAACGTAGGAAAAACCTTTCCCTTTTCATAGCTTTCTGCATTTTGGAATCGGGGATAAGGGATATGCATCTACTTAATCTGAATGTGGATCTATCTATCTGACATAAAATGATAAAGTTCCATAGGAGGAGCTGTCTCAAGGAGGGCTGGAAAGGCACTCACCAGCATCTCTATTCATTCCCCGGAAAATGCCTCTTTCCTGCTGCCTATTTTATGCTGAAAGTACCTTTCAGGTTGGTGTAAGGACCATCCTAAGCAGAGCCATTTCCTCTATTCCTTCATTAGGTATGTGGTTCACTCCTGCTCCAGAGTTGGGGAGAAAGGCCTTGCTTTTGGCTGCAGGCTGCAGAGAAAAGTAAAAAAACAGAGAGAGGAGTCAGCAAAGAAATAGGAGCTAATGTTTTGTGTGTTTTTTTTCAAAGCACTCAGCATAGTGCCTGGAAGATAATAATAGTGATCACAACAGTAATAATTATGATTAATAAAAAACGCTATAAACACTTATGTATTACTTTCTATTGATCCTGAGCACTTCCTATATGTATATCATGTCATGTGATTCTCACAGCAGCTGTGTGAGTTTGGTAGTATTTATTACCCCCATTTTGCTGAGAGGCAAACTAAGGCACGGAGAAGTAAAGCAACTCTCTGAGTTGTCACAGAGCCAGTACGTAGTGGCGCTGGGATTCAGATTCTGGATATTTGGCTCCAGAGTTTCTGCTCTTCATCCCAGTGCGGTACTGGACTCTTAGATGTTCAACAAACTGGAACGTAATATGAAGTACATCAGGTTTTCCATTGGGAAGGGTCTGAGAACATTGTTTGCTCCAGAGCTATTCCTCCTCTCTTTCTGGAGTGTATATAAATTATATATATATATATTAAAAAAAAAACACTAAAAAATAACCAACAATGATAGCAATGCTGTGGCCAGTAGCTAACCGTTTGTTGTCATACTGGCCTTTCTTAGATCAGAAATCAGAGAAATCATTCTGCGAGGAGGACCACGCCGCCCTTGTGAATCAGGAGAGTGAGCAGTCGGATGATGAACTCCTGACCCTTTCCAGTCCCCACGGCAATGCCAGCGATGACAAGCACCATGATACCAGAAGGCCCAGCAAAAAGCAGCAGGAGCCCGCTGCCCCTCCTCCCCCTGAGGACGTGGACCTGCTGGGCTTGGAAGGGTCTGCAGTGAGTAAGAACTTCTCCTCACCAGTGGCTCCTCCCACCAATTCCGATCTGCTCGGTGACCTGTTTGGGGCTGCAGGTGCGGCCGGCCCTGCCCAGGCTGGACAGTCCGGGGTAGAAGATGTGTTTCTCCCAAGTGGACCTGCTTCTGCCCAATCAACACCACGCCGGTCTGCCACCTCCACCACCGCGTCGCCAACCCTACGAGCGGGAGAAGGTAAATGTTTCCACGCTGCACTGTACAGTTTTGAAATCTAACCTTTGGGCCAAGCAGGTAGAGTTGAACCTTCCTAATAAGCTAGACTTTTCTAGTCTCCCTGGAAGTTCCCCAGGAGTTTATACATTTATTTAAATGGGGAACCCAAGAGGAAGTCAAAGGTAGGAAAGGGTAAGAGTGAATATTTGGGCTTCTCACCCCTACTTTATTTTTTTTAGGGCTTTAATACCTGAATGTGGAGATGTAGATTCATAATGACCGTGGAGTATTTACTATTTGCCAAACATGGAATTTAATACTAACCATTGATTCAATTCTTATAAAAACCCAGTAATTAGATGCTGTTATTATCTCTGCTTCATCATTGAGGAAATAGAGGCTTAGAGTCAGATTAGTAGCATACCATTTTTTTTTTTTATATAAGTTAGTAATGGATCAGGCCAGGGTCCAAAATTAGGCCATTTGACTCCAGTGCTTCCCCTCAGTTTTTCCTGTAATGCCTTCCTGGAATTGTAGTTTTCTGAATACATTTTGGCTGTGCAGAGAAGTACTTGGCTACTTCAAGGCATATTTGAGGGACTCATGCCTGCAGCACAGCTGACTGGAGCAGAGCTGTTGGAGCCCCATGTGGCTCAGGTAGCTTCTCTTTGCTCATTGCTGCAGACTCCACCCTTCTGTGACTGGACATCTACAATGTTTTGACATTTGCAAGACAGTGTAGTTGAGTAAGCGGAGGTCCTTTATAGCTAAGAACCATCTCCCCTTGTTATCAAGATGACATCCCATGAGGAAGAGTAAAGGGAAATGTCTGGACATTCCAGGCACATAGTAACCTGTGGAAACTTTTTTTCCCAAGCTTATCCTTCACTTCTCAGAAGGCCTTTGGCAGGTGTTGATTCATGGCAGTTCAGCAGGAGGCTTTCTTTATAAGAATGAGCCTCAGAATCATAGAATGGATAAGCTAGGGCTCAAGCACCTACATGTTATTGGTAGAGCCAGGATGTGAGGTGCCTTGAATCTCAGGATATTTCCTCTCTACTTCACTCCCTTCCATCCAGTTCTTACTCTCCGAAGTGAATAAAAGTTCTAACAGGAAATAAAAAAGTCCCCAAGATCCTTAAGATGATGCATCTTGGGTGACTTTTGATGATTTAATCCATCATAGTCCTATGCAGATAGTTCTGTCCCATTGTCAGAAATAGAAGGGCCTTCTGACACATTAGATAAATCTGTGCCTCAGGATGCAGACAATGAAATTGAGGCCTGTGCATACTGATTGACTTGTTCAAGGATACAGAGCTGATTGGTGGCAAACCCAGATCTAGAACGCAAGTGTTCTGTCTCCTACGAGGAAGTAGAAAGAACACAGTCCAGAGTTAAAGGCCAGTATTTGACTCCCAGGACTGACATGTAACCATCATGTGTAGCCTTATTAATAAAACCTTAATTTTCTTGGTTGTATAGGTGGTTAATATTTACCTATCAGCATTGTTGTAAAGACTAAAATTTGAGCTTTTGTCTTGTAGTGTTGGGAAGTTCACTTTTAGTGAGTGGAAAATGCCTCTAATTTAACACAAGTTGCCATTAAAAGGGTACTAAGTACCCTTTTAGCAAGATTTTAGAAGATTTTAGCATCCTACACTAGTTGGCATCAAACTTAGATGTAGAGGAATCAACTCAGTGTCTTCTTATAGTTATGCTATAAATATGGTGTTCTCACTTTAGAAGAAATAAAGTTTAGTGAGTATTAAATGATAAAGGATATATACTGTGTAATGGAGTCCCTGACAGATGCTTGATTTACTGGTGCTGCACAAGGTTAATTCATTGCCCAGAAAATTATAGGAGAACATTGTGGCATTGAAGTCATAGCTGAACACATCAAACCATATATACTGCTTGGGCTTTCAGAGTGGGAGTTATTCATTAACTTGTTTGATTCTAGTTGTCCATTCCTAAAGAGGTCAGTTCTACTCCAGGAAGCAATTAATTCACTAGTGTGAGACTTACAGAATAGGAAGTAGTGTCTTAATATAAGGCGCTACAGGGAATTTTATTCCTTGTCCAATAATGAGATATTAAAGGGCAATTATACACATGCAGCTCTGCATGGTGTTAATCACATTCATTTTACATCTTGAGAAATGTGAGATGCCTTTGGGAAATCCTGGAATTTGGAGTCAGAAGACTTGAGCCTGAATGCCAGCCCTATTATTTACTTGATATTGGACTTTCTAAACCTCAGTTTCCTTGTCTATATAATGAAAATACCGCTACTATTTTTGTCTGATAGAAGACAGGGGTATTGAGGATCAGCTGAGGTATTCTTTATGAAGGGCACTATGAATCCTAAGAAATGATACAGTATTAGTGTTGTTGCATTGTTTCTGGAAACATCAGCTGCCCACATTGTTCTAGTCCTCTTAGTTCATTCGCAAACCTTTGTTAGCCCTGGGGGACATTTAAGGATAGGATGGGCCTGTGGAATAGCCCAGGAGACAGGAATCATCCTGCTGTTTCAAATATTTGGCCTAGGGTTGGAAATAGTGATAACACTTCAATATTTATTGAATGAATGAACTTATAGAACAAACACATTTCTCTTTTATTTTCTAGGTGCCACCTTTGACCCATTTGGAGCACCTTCTAAACCATCAGGCCCAGACTTGCTGGGTTCTTTCCTGAACACAGTCAGTGCTTCCAGTGACCCCTTTCTTCAGCCTACGAGAAGTCCTTCACCTACATTGATGGGTAAGAAGTATTTCATATTCTGAAATAGATTTCCACATGATACCCATAGGTACTTAGTTTTAAAAGCATCATGTAGGTGTTTGGGGGTGGGGTGAGGTGATGCTACATAATGCATCTCTCTCTTTTGGATATTAGCAATTCATATTAAAAGCTCTGGGTGTCTTATCATAAATAAGCCTGTTTAACTTTATTTTACTCAGCTTTTCTAAAACTTATTTAACTGTGGAATTCTTTTTTTTTGTATTAGAGCTACATGCATAGAATTATGATAGCATTGATTGTAGGGTGTTTATTTTATGTACTGATAAGGAAGAAAACAATGCTATTGCTTTTAGTTGATTGGAAGATGCATCCTAGTTGAAGACATCTTTGAAATGTGGAAAAATATGACTAAAGTAATAAAATGTGACATGAGCATCCCACAGAATCAGTATGTTATAGAACAAAGTTTAGAATATAGCACCCTGATGAATTAGAGATATTCTATCTAATACAAAGTGGCTATTGAGCACTTAGTATTTGGATAGTCTATTTGAAATGTGCTCTAAGTATAAAACAGCATCCCAGATTTCAAAACTCAATACAAAATAAGAGTGTAAAATATCTCATTACTATTTTATATTGATCACTTATTAATATTTTTATTTTATTTTTATTTTTATTTTTTTAAAATATATTTTATTGATTTTATACAGAGAGGAAGGGAGAGAGATAGAGAGTTAGAAACATCGATGAGAGAGAATCATCGATCAGCTGCCTCTTGCACACCCCCTACTGGGGATATGCCCGCAACCAAGGTACATGTCCTTGACCGGAATCAAACCCGGGTCCCTTCAGTCCCCAAGCCGACGCTCTATCCATTGAGCCAAACCGGTTTCGGCCACTTATTAATATTTTTAATACATTAGGTTAAATAAAATATATTTCTAAAATTAATTTAACCAATGTCTTTTTACCTTTTTTAATGTGACAACTAGAAAATTTAAAATTACATCTCGCAGGGTAGTTCAGTTGGTTAGAGCATTATCCCTATATGCAAGGTTACTGATTCGATCTCCAATCACATACAAGAAGCAACCAATGAATGCATAAATAAATGGAACAACAAAATCAATGTGTTTCCACCCCCCCTCTCTTTTTCTTCTTTCCTCTATCTAAATAAGTCAATTAAAAAAAAAGAAAATTTAAAATCACATATGCAGCCCACATTATATATTTACTAGAGGCCCAATGCACGAAATCCGGCTGCCAGCACCAACTTCTCTCTGGCATCTGGGACCCCAGTTTCCCTTGCAGCCCCATCCTCCAGTCTAATTAGCATATTAAACTTTTATTATTATAGATTAGTTTAGAGACTTAGGTTGTGTGAAAAGAATAGTGATCACATCCATTTGTACATGCAAAACAGATTAAAATGGGAGTTCTTCAATGAAGGACAAATGGCTTTGATCTAGAGACTTGTATCTCATTCTTGATATTGAAGGCTATTGAACATTAATGGCTTCAACCTAGAAAACTATGTATTGTTCAAGGCACCCTGAGCTTGTCTGGAGAATGCAGTCCAACCATCAGCTTGATTTCATGGATGTTAGGCCAATGGAAAAGGAAGATGAGTTATGCAACATAGGTCAGACTGTAACTTGACTGAAATAGGAATCAGTCTAGGAATAACCTTTATGGGTGATTTCCAATTAGTCTTAAATCTCAAACTATTTGAGGTGGGTCCACATGGACAAGAAATGCACCTCTCACTCTTGTGTAGTGCCCACCTAAGAGAATCTCTTGATTGGAAGTTGGCTTCCCTGGGGGAAACGATGCAGGGATGGAGTTCAAAGCTGTTGTTTTTGCTCACTTCCTTAAAATGTAAGTCACATCATTGCTCAAAATAGCTCCCTATTTCACTTAGCATGGCAGCCAAAGTCCTCCTCAAAATGGCCTACATAGGCCTTATGTGTTCTAGCAGCCCAGTGACCTCATTTTCTATTTTCCTCCTCTTGCTCTCTTTATTCCAGCCACACTGGTCTACTTGCTATTCCACTGGCTATCCCCTCATCCCCAGACATCACATGGCTAACTCCTTCACCTCTTTTGATTTTTGCTCAACTGTCACCTTCTCAATGGAGTCTACTCTGACTGCTCTGTTTCACATCCCAACTCATCCCCCTTGCCCTTACTACAGTTTCCTTTCCATGGTACTATCAACTTCATTATAGTTAATAGTGTACTTATATCTTATGTCTATCTCTCCCACCAAGGCAGGGATTTTTGTTTGTTTGCTCATTATTGCTTTCCTAGCGTTTAGAAGAATTATTGGCTTTCTATCTATCTTTCTATGGAATATGTAAATATAAAATAATTTAACTCATTTTTTTTCCTATCTATGCTTCTTTGATGCATCATGATAGAATTAATAAGGTTATATATTTTCCTGATTTTGATACTTTGGATTTATTATTCTCACAAAAGTTACCTTTTATGTTTATACTTCAGCATGGAAGTTCTGGATCTGGTTCTCTGTTTCTTTTGAGCTGGTTAGAATATTTTATTACCTAGTGTAGGCCAGTTAGTACCCCTTTGTTCTGTAGCCATTTTTGTCTATGTTCTTGCCAGTGAGTGAAAGAATTTTCCACTCTCCTTGCTTGGAAATGAATGATCATTCCATTGGTAGTAGATCATTTGCATATTCTTGGTATAGGACAGTGGTCGGCAAACTCATTAGTCAACAGAACGGCAAACCACGGCTTGCGAGCCACAGTTTGCCGACCACTTGAATATGCTAGCATATATATGAGATTCAGATGTCAGATTGGGCGGTCAGAATTGCTTATCTCTAGAATTCCCTACCTCAGCAAAAGGCACCTGTTCCCATTCTTTTATCCAGCCGTTCAAGCTGGAAACCTGGAGTCATTTTCCTGATTTCTACGAGGCACCACCAATCTCTTCTGAAAATCAAGAAATATTACCTTTGAACGCTACAAATCTTTATTGAACATCTACTCTAAAGAAAATAAGCACTAGATTATAGTGTTCTTAGAAAAAATAAACAAATAACTGTAATGAAAGGCAAGATGGAGAATAAAAATACTAGGTAATTACCTTTAAATCTATATCTTTCCATTTCCAACAGATTTTAAGTTTATTGAAAATAGGCAATGTGTCTCTTAGTTCTCTGTTCCCTAGCCTGTTGCCTTGCATATGGATTTTTGGGTTTGATTAGTAATGAGGTTGAAATTCTGACACCCAGTTCTACTCCTAGTTGGATGTAACACTAAGATCAGTGTATAAAGGAAGTCAGACAGCAAGAGTTGGCAAAGTGGTCTGATTTCCACCTTAGTTTTCAGGGATTACTGTGGAATAAGAATAGAAAGGAAAGAACTGTAATTGCTGATAATGGCATGTTCTTTTTAACTTAGTGATGGGAAGGTAGAAGACATCTTGGTTTATACTAATCAAAAAAGAAAATGTAAGGCTTTGTAATGCTAATCTTGGTGATTTCATGATTCTTTTGATGGTGGTGATGGTGGTGGTGTGGTCATGGTGGTGAATGTATTAAATACAAATTGCAATGTTTAGTATTTGCATTTTGCTCACTGATTTATGGACAGAACTTACAGGTGCCTTAGAAAAAAATTCTTATGAAATCCTGTTTCTTATTTGGATTTTATAGATTCAGAAAAAACTTAGTACCAATGTGTATACATTGTATACACATGATTCTCTTTAGCTAAACATTTTTAAATTCTACATTTGGAATTTTGAGAGGTGCTAGGGGGTCTGTTTTGAGTGGGGGCTGTACAAAGTTTGTTGTGAGTGACAATAGATACACCTCTAACATGAGCATGGTGTATGGCATATAGTCAGTGCCTAATATGTGCTCTGAAAGACTGATCATTCTCAATTCATGTCACAGCAAAGAAGAAAACAAAAGTTCAGTTCTAAATTGATCATGCCTCTCATGCCAACTTAAGACAAATTGAATTGCTGTGGGTTTTATTTTTCATATTTTCTTACTGCCCACCGACTTTCAGATAACTATAGAAGTGGGACACATATTAATGAATCAGGTAGTTCCTGCCTTCAAGGAACTCACAATTTAGTGAAGACAGAATATGCACAGTTATATTTCAAAGTGTGTGGTGGATATGGAGGTAAAAATTGAGCCAAAGCAGAAACAGAGATAAACAATATACTAAAAAACTGTAATGTATACAGACTTTGGTTGCCATTATTCATTCCAATGGATTAAATATGAAAAAAAACAACAACAGCAACCATCAGTTGAACTATCAGCTGTTAAACGGTGTATACATTTTTGGGGATACTTATATGGCTTTTACCAACCCTCATGTAAGTCACCAAGGAGGAATGCACAAATTATTATACCAAGTGCTGCAAAATGTGTTGAGAACTCAGGATCCCTTGGGACCTTGGGAGGCCATGAAGATCTCATGGATGGCATAGCACTTGCCTGTGTGAACTTAGAAAAGCAGGTTTTGAGCTGCCATTTCTTAATTATTTTTTTCTCCTAATTTTTAGCTTCAAGTACACCTGCTGTGAATATTCAGCCAGATGTTTCAGGAGGTTGGGACTGGCAGGCTAAACCAGGTAAAAGTCAGCAGGCTATTCATATGCATATGTAACCAATTGCTAAAGCAGGACTGTTCACCAAGAATGAAGTGACTACTTACAGAGCCCACCTATATAATTTGTGTTGATCTTTCTTAAAGACTTGTATTCTTGTGGAACATTCCCATTGCATTTTATGACATGGTAGTGCTGTGTATTACACATTATTTTACTTGTTTCATTTGCTGAATGTCTGTTTTGACGCTAGAATTTGGTAGATTTGGTATATATCTAACTGTGCCACTTAGAAGTTCTTGGATTTTTTTTTTTAACAAGTCTGAATCTCCATGTTTTTGTTATCAGTGAAGTGGGATCCATAATTCTTGTCCCACACAGTTGTATAGTTTAAGTGAAATAACTTATTTGAAATTTTCTAGTGTAAGATAGCTGCTAAATAATTTGGATGGTCTTCCTTCTTCACAAAGGACTTGTTTCAGGACTATATTTGTCTGTGACAAATAAGTTGTCTTTCTCATGGCTAGATGGTGTTTACTGAGAGCAAACTTGTGTGATTGCATTCTCAGCACTGTGCAAGACACACACCACACACCACACACACACACACACACACACACACACACACACATACACGATGTGCTTATCATGGCAACTTTCTGAAGCAGTTCCTGTTTCTTAAATGAGAAAATGTTGAAACTCAGAGAAGTTAAACAATGTGTGCAAGGCCATTCATTTATTAAATAGCAGAGACAGAATTCAGATCTAGGCCTGACTACAAATCTCATAGAAAGAAATGAAGGCAGGATGACAGGGAAGGTAAACACTGGACATAATAGTTCACAGGTATGGCCAGGAAACAACATATGCCTTTTTTTGTGCCTATCTCTGCTCCAGGACACTATTCACTTAAGTTCAGAAAAACAAGGTCTACCAACTTCTAACATATTTCCAAATCCTGTCCTAATTTTCCCTTAGAGACAAAATCCAGGATTTAGCCTTGGACAGTTAACTCATTTTCAATCTCTGTATTTCCTTTTCAGGAGGTTTTGGAATGGGAAGCAAGTCAGCTGCCACCAGCCCAACGGGATCCTCACACAGCACTCCCATCCATCAAAACAAACCCCAGACTCTGGATCCTTTTGCTGACCTTGGGACACTAGGTATAAACTTAACAGGTTAAGAAATTTACGTATGGCTACAAAACCTCAACTCTAAATCCTTAGTGTTATAATAAGCTGGTACCTAAAATGTTATATATTCTTAAGGATATACACTTTAAATCCGAGATTGGCTTCACACACACACACACACACACACACACACACACACACACACACTGCTTTAAGTAGTCAGCCCACTAACTAACCCCTATTAATCCACTTTGGAATTGTTGGATGAATAAAGTTAGAATTTCTAGGAGCATCTGACAACAGAGTTTGCAGTAAAAGTAGCAAGAGTGTAGGGGAACATGAGAGCTGAGACTGGTCAGGTAGATTTGAGCCCCCCTGGAGCCAGCTGTGCATAGGTCTTCTTGTGATGTTACCAGTGAGGTCTTCACACTGGTACCCCTCTTCTCACGATAAATACATACAAAAAATAGACTCTCTGTATAGTATTTTCAAAGTGGTTTTCCTCATGTGCTCCTTGTTATTAGAGGATAAGTGTTACATGAGCAAGTAATTTCTGAAACACTGGGGTTAGTGGACTTTGATTACTGCAAAAACTTCTGAGAATAAATGGTCATAGTGATGCTTGCCAAAAGGTATACAGTTTGCAGTATTCTCAGACTCTTTCACCAAGAAAGCATTTTTGCAAGGGGTAGTTCATTGGATGTTCTGAAACCTCGTCTCCCTCTCTTTTCCTTCCTCCTCTGGGCAGTGCAGAACTGTTAAATAAGGGTGGATAGGCCCTGACAGGAAGGTTTAAATTAGCCAGGTGGATAATTCAGGTTCTCAGAAAGCCCTGGGGTATTTAGAGCCAAAGTATCTGCAGGGAATGAGAGCGTGCTATCATTTTGACAGTAATTGGATCAGATTCTTGACCTTTCCTTATACATGTTTTAGAATTCTTTTAAGAATTCTCAAAATTATTTTCCCTTCTTTGTATCCTAAGGTAAGCTTAGCATTTTAAAATAACAACATCAGGTGAAATTATACCTCAAATCAAACATGATTGGGGGCTCATTTTCTACCATTTATTCATTTCACAACTATTTAGTAAGTGTCTTCAATATGCTAATACTGTTTTTAAAAATATATATATTTTATTGATTTTTTACAGAGAGGAAGGAAGAGTGATAGAGAACTAGAAACATCGATGAGAGAGAAATATCAACCAGTTGCCTCTTGCACACCCCCTACCGGGGATGTGCCCGCAACCAAGGTACATGCCCTTGACCGGAATCAAATCCGGGACCCTTCAGTCCACAGACTGACACTCTACCACTGAGCCAAACCGGTTTCGGCTGCTAATACTGTTTTAATAAAAACCAACCAACCAGAAACAACAACAACACAATTTCTGTTTTTTAAAGCTTATATTCTAGAAAAGTAAATAAATAGTAAGTGAATAAATATACAATATAATAACTGTTTGCTAGGGGAGTTACTATGTGCCAGGCACTCTCTTAAGTGCTTTACATATATAAATTGATTTAATCTTCCCAATAATCTTTTGAAGTAGAGGCTATTACTTTTTGCAGATGAAGAGTGACCATTATAAAAGGTTCTTTTTTAAATCCTACATTATGTCTTGCATTTAGCTCTCATGTCCTTTTAGACACTGTTAATCTGGAATCATTCCTCAACCTTTCCTTGCCTTTTATGACATTGAAGGGCACAGGCCAATTACAAAGTCTCAATTTGTTAACTTTAATCACTTGCTTAAGGCGATGTCTGTTTCCTTCATTATAAAATTATAATTTTCCTCTTTGTAATTAATTAGTAATCTGGGGGAGATAATTTGAAGCTATCCTACTTAAGATAATCCTATTAGATAAGATTACATTCTCCATCTGACTTTTACCCACTGATTTTAGCATTCATTAATGATTCTTGCCTGAAGTAGTCATTGCTATGATACTTGCAAAATTGTGATTTTTCTGATTCTTTCTTTCTTTCTTTCTTTCTTTCTTTCTTTCTTTCTTTCTTTCTTTCTTTCTTTCTTTCTTTCTTTCTTTCTTTCTTTCTTTCTACATGTATTAATTGGCATTTTACTGTAAAGAAAAAAAATATTTTCTTTTCTCTTTTTCTCCCTCCCTCTCCTCACATCAGAATGGACTAATGAAATTTTTTTTTGATTCAGTGGGTTATAATTCATTACTGTCATCATTTCCTTTAATGTTCACATTGTCTCAGATTTGATTTATTAAAGTCCCTTTGCTCTGGCTTCTAGGCCCTTTTCATTAGATTCCATGAGCACCTACTTTCTTCATAGTACAAAAAGATGTTCCCAGCTTGTCCTGACCTTTTTATATCCTAGTTCTGGAATCAGTCATTCTCCAAAGTATCTTCACTCCCTTTCATGGGGAATGGTATTTAGAAACCAAAGTCTGTACACTTAGTATGTTCACTGGTTCTGAAGTGGGTGTCATTCTCTACCTTTCAGGAGATATAGGAGATGAATGGGTATGCATATATAGAATTCCACCCAGTTCCTCAGGATTCTTCCTTGCCTTCACCTAGCAGTGGTCGGCAAATTGCGCCTCACGAGCCACATGCGGCTCGCGGTTTGCCGCCCTATTGACTAATGAATTTGCTGACTACTGACTTAGACTTACAGACTATTGTTCCTTGTGATTAAGCCCCTATCCAGTGGTCACGAGCTGCAGTTTGCCGACCACTTCCCTAATGGATATGTTTATCTTATTTTCTCCTGGATCACAATATTAATAGTCTGACAACAAAAATAGTTTGAATAGCTACACACATTACACTGTAAAAAATCTACCAGGAGGAGTTCAAGAGTTCTCTGCCAATTTTGAAATGCAATTTTGAAGTTTTTACAACTTCTGGAGAAATTGGTCTCCCAAATTCCTCTCTCTTTCTAGTCACATAACTTAAGAAAGTTAAGTAACTTTCCTAAAACCACACACTCAACAAGTGTGTGAGCAAGGGTTTTAAGCTAGATTTCTAACTCCTAGATAATAACTTTAGAATAAAAATTATAATTTCAAATTATATACCTGCAAGTTATTTATTTATTTATTTTTGTTAATCTTCACCCATGGATAATTTTTTCCTTTTTTTTTTTTTTTTTGAGAGAGTGGAAGTGAGAGAGAAGATAGAAAGAAACATTGATGTGAGAGAAACGCATCAGTTGGTTGCCTCCTGGACATGCCCTGACCAGGGCCAGGGATGGAGCTTGCAACTGAGGTATGTGCCCTTGACCGGAATTGAACCTGTGACCCTTCAGTCATTTGACCAAAGCTCTAACCACTGAGAAAACTGGCTAGAACTATATCTGCAATTTAGAAAATACAAAAAATAGTGTTCTTCTCTTTAAGGCATTTTGATTTAATTGATTGGGCTGTGGTTTGGGAATGAGTTAAAAAAGCTCCCCAGGTGATTCTAATGCACAACTAAGACTGTCAACCATGCTTTAGCTTTTAATGAGGATAACAATGGCCTCTGGGTTTTTCTGCTTCTTTGTTTTTCTGTAAGTTCTCCTTTTCAGTAGCATTAAGACATAGAATTGTTGGACATGAGTAGAAATATTCTGGAAGGGTAGACATTAGAAAGTCTTACCCTGTTGATAAGCCCCTTGAGAGCAGGGTCAACATCAGCCTTTTTACCATTGTATCTGTAGCCTGGCATGTAGAAGATGTTCAACAGTGTTTCAGAAGTGAATGTATAAATGACAGTGTTATGGGAATATGGAAGGTTTTTTAAAATTTTCTAGGCTTGTCCATATTTACTGAATTTCATGTACACACACACCCACCACACATACATACACACTAGAGGCCTGGTGCATGGATTTATGCATGGGTATGGTCCCTGGGCCTGGCCAGCGATCTGGGCAATTGGGGCTGTCTCTCCCAGTCCCAATGGGGGCTGATGGGGGTCGGCTAGCTATGGGGAGGGACCACTAGAGGTTGGCAGACCTGATCAGGTTGATGGGGTCTGTCTGGCAGGGGTTTGGACAGCTGCAGGAGGTTGGCTGTGGAAGTGCACTGACCACCAGGGGGCAGCTCCTGTGTTAAGCATCTTCCCCCTAGTGATCAGTGAACAATATCATAGCTACCACCCAGTCATCTGGTCCTCTGATCGTCTGGTCATAATAGTCGCTTAGGCTTTTATAGAAGATAGTAAGCATCCCTTTAAAAATAAAATGAAATCTCAGTGTAGAATGAATACCCAGCCTAAGATGTGTATTATGTTGATGTCCTGTGGGCAGGTGGGCCCAAGGGCTCATGAAGAGACGCTTCATGCTCTGCATTACAGTCTGGGAGGGGCCAATACCAAGCTTCAGAGTATATGCCCTGTCATGACCTTTCCTGTTACCTAGTATTTATTGAGTCCTTATCATGTACTAGTGTGTGCTTGCTATTGCTGGGCATATGCACTTCCATTATTTTATAATGTGTATGCCTCTTGATTCAAGATTTTTGAAATACTTTCATATAGCCATTGTGACTTTACAGTATTCCTGTGATGTATATGTAATTATACTTTTACAGATGAGGGTTGAGGCTAAGAGGTGAAGTTTTTCATGGAGCTTCAGAAGTGAAAGGATTCTGTATAGATTGTTTTTGGCTCTGTTCCCAGTGCTCAGCGCAGGATCCGGCACATAGTAGATACTCAAAAAACACTGATGAATGAGTATATGAATGAATGAATAAATAAATAAATAAATGCAAGATTGAATTGGTGAATGAGAGACAGAGATGAGATTCCAGCTCAGATTGACTCCAAGTCCAATGACCATAAAACAATATTCTCAGTGGGGAAAGAAGGAGGAATCCCAGATGATAATAGAGGGAAAATGTCTGTAGAAAGAAGAAAGAGTAAAAAAAGGGATGACTTATAGTGAATAGCTCAGAAATTTGGGGAGGAATTAGGGATTTGGGTGCAGCCAATAAGTATGACATTTGGTGGTAGGATGTGTGTCATCACTTCTCCTCCCCATTAGCTACCTGAGTGATCATGAATATATTAGTAAACCCTTTGAGGCTTGATTTTCTCATCTTTAATGCGGGACCAACAATACTACCTATTTCCTCAGAGTGTTGTGTAGACCAAAGGCAATGATATACATAAACATGTTCTGTAAACTCTAAAGAGCTCTTAGTTATTTTATTGTCATTGATTCTTTGGGTTTGGTGCATGAGAGGGTCCCAGGAGATCACAACTATAATACAACTGGCAATTTCTCATTTTACCTCTTTACACACAAGCCACAGCTGGTCTTTCTATTTTAGAAACAGCCCAGCATGTATTTGGTGAATACTTTTAAGTTAGGGGATTAGGGAATCAGGATTCTACTTAAATTCCTGGCACAAAATAATATCATGTTTAAAAGGTTGAATAAGATCCTTTGTCCTGTTCAAAGTTGGCTGTGTTTACTCTCCTGCGATGAAATCCAAGTAGTGTGAAACTGAAACCTACTGGTGAAATTTCAAAACATATTTGTTTACTCTTGAGCATTAACCACGCTTGCACTTATAACAAACAATGATTAATCCTGATCACCGAAGTTTAAAAAGCACCTTAATGAGTGAACATATTTTGTTTTATTTCCTGTTCTTATTATTTGGTAATCTTCAATCCATTCAAGAAATAGAATCTGCTTTGAAGATGGGATGGAGGAGAGGGAAGGCACAGAGAGAAGAGCCAGGGTTCTTTTGGCTTGGAGTCAAAGGCTTGGATTCAAATCCCTGTCCTGTCGCTTGCTGGCTGTGTGACTCTGAGAAAACCAGTTAACTGCTCTGAGCAGTTTGTTCACCTAAAGAAAAAATGGGGCTATTAATACATACCTAAAAATGTCATTGTGGGGATGAAAGGAAATAAATACCTGAGTTTTTCCCTAAGTATTAGGAAGATTAGTATTGCTGCTAGTCAAAGTAATTTCCATTAAAGCCATTGCAAACAATGACTCAGGATACAAGAGGTAAAGACTACTCAAAACAGCATTACCTTACTTCTTCCCCCCTGTTTTCCTATAGGTAGTTCTTCATTTGCCAGCAAACCCACCACACCAACCGGACTGGGTGGGGGATTTCCACCTCTCAGCTCACCACAGAAAGCTTCTCCTCAGCCTATGGCTGGAGGGTGGCAGCAGGGAAGTGGCTACAACTGGCAGCAGACACAGTCTAAGCCCCAGCCCAGTGTGCCGCACGCCTCTCCCCAGAACCGGCCCAACTACAACGTGAGCTTCTCGGCCATGCCTGGGGCCCAGAGTGAACGTGGGAAAGGATCCACTAATTTGGGTAAGGATGATGGTATGGAGCCTAGCTGCAGCGTGGCCTGTGTTATCATACTATCTGGATGGATGGGTGTCCTAAGAAGGAGACAGAAAACAATTTCAATGGTTTCTGAGGCAATCGTACAGTTGTAGAGACACAATATGACCGCTGCCTCCAATTCTGTGCCTGGAGTACCTGGGTTTGCCATGCTCTGAACATTTTATCATTTTATGACTGTTGCTTCACTTGTGTTTCTCCCCACACTGAGACCAGATGTGTCTGTGTTTACCATGTTATCACTAGCGCATAGCATAGCACTTGGCACAGCATACACACTACATCAGGGTGGGGAATCTTTTTTTCTGCCAAGGGCCATTTGGATATTTATAGCACCATTCATAGGCCAAACAAAATTACCAACCTGAAAATTAGCCTGCTATATTTGGTCAAACATTTAATTAACTCGTCTCTAATGCCCTGGCATGCCCAGACCAAATGGGGTCTAGACCTTATATGGCATATGGGCCAGACATTCCCCACCCTGCACTAAATGAATATTGAATGAATGAGTGGAGGGGTGGGTGGATCTTGAAGCTGTCCTTCCTTTCAAAGAAGGGGTAGAAGAGAAAGATTGGGAACTTTTTAAGCATTGTGTTCACATTTGCCCTTGGGCCCTGGTTAGAGTGTATCTGTCTTAGACATTGAGTCTTATGCTGCATAAGCAGGTAATCCTGAGGCCATTGGGTTTCCTGTGATGGTTTTCCCTCTCTTCTGAGAAGAAAGTGAAAAGAACACAATGTGGGTCAATAGTTAAGACTCTGGGATATTATGAGTGGGCTTCTTTTTTTTATTTTTAACTTCTGAATGGCATTGTTGATGAGTAAAAACATTTTGCAGAGCAGTGGTGGTTAAACTTGAGTTGGTTAAAAGTTTGATACAGTTTGCATTCCAGTTGATCTGATCATACCCAGGAAGGAAATGTATAGGGACATGATGAGGAAACAGGCCTTTCCCTGTACGGAATCTATAGAGAGACATTCTACTTTTCCTAGTAGCTGTAATTAACAATTTTGAGTACTTACTTACATTGTGTCAATTGCCATTTTAAACAGTTTTCATGGATTATTTCATATAATCTTCAAAACTAACCCTATGTTGTAGGTGAGGAATCTGTGACAGAGCTCGATAAAGTAATTTCCTAAATTCATACAACTTGTAAGTGACAGAGCTAAGATTTAGTCCCAAGTAATCTGGCCGCAGAAAGTCTACTCTTACTTGCCACATTCTGCTGGTCATGACTTAGGTGGCTTCTCACAACACTAACGTGATAGGAACTCTGTTATTGGGAATAGGTAACATCACATTTGTTCTTTGGTGAGCAGTGGGTATTCTTTGGACAATTCCATGAGTCTTGTGGCTTCCTTCCTGTGTTTATTTTGAGTAGATGTGTGGTGAGTGTCTTCACCAGTAATTATTTATGGAGCATCTTCAGTGTAGAAAACATTGTGAATACAGTAGTGAACAAAACAGGTGAAATCCCTAGTCTCAATGTGTACATGTGTGAATATGTGTATGGAGGGCCTTACAATATAGAGATGGCAAATGGGTTTCAATTCAGACACCAACTTTGGTTGCTGTGCATTGGTGGCATTGATGCATGGACTGCTGTTTTGGTTCTATTGTTGTTGTTTTCTAAATATATTTTTATTGATTTCAGAGAGGAAGGGAGAGGGAGAGATAGAAACATCAATGATTACAGAGAATCATTGATCAGCTGCCTCCTGCAAGCCCCCTACTGAGGATCAAATCTGCAACCTTGGGCATGTGCCCTTGTCTGGAGAATCGAACCCGGGACCCTTCAGTCTATAGGCCGAACAACATTCTATCCACTGAGGGCTCTGCTTTGTTTTAATTTAACAAACATTTAAATAGCCAGGTACTGTTCTAAGAACTTTAAAATGCTAACATCAATTATCACACAACCCTATGAGGTAAGTAGTATAGACTGGCAGATGAGATAAGGCATGGAGATGATAAGTAACTTGCCTCAAAGTAACTTTGCTAAAGTAGCAGAGTTGGAATTCAGACTCCAGGGAGTCTGTCTCCAGAGTCTGCACCACCAGCTAGGCTGCCTCTCCAAACAGAATGAGAACAATTGAGGCCACAACAGGGCTTAGAGGAAAAAACCATTATGATGGACTGTCAGCTGGGCGTAGGAGGGAAAGTGGTGGCACACATGGATTTCAAGCACCAAGACCCAGACTTCTTGCCATCATAGATACTAACGTTGTATGACTGGGAGAGAGCATGGGGAGAATCAATATTAGCCTCATCTATACATAGATGGTCCAGTGGAAACAGAATTATGGAATTGGATTTAGTCTAATGATCTAGCCTTAAGTCCTAGCTTTGCCATGGACATAGTATATGATTCTGGAAAAAAAAAAATCTCTTCAGTTCCCTAGACTACATTTTCCTCATCTATAAAATAAGCATGGAAGTCTTATATTCTACTCACAGGGTAAATGTGGGTATTAAGGGGATTTATGCATGTGAAACAACTTGAAGATTCTAAGTGTTATGAGACAATGGTCTGATACTTTAAGGATAAAAACTATAACGATTTTTTTAATTTTGTATTTTCTTTTCTTTTTTTAAAATTAATTTCTTTATTGATTAAGGTATCACAAATTTGTCCTCAACCCCCCCTTTCCAATCCCCCACCCTATAATTATTTTTAAAAAAATTATATTGCAGAAGGGAAACAAAAAGCAGCTGACTTTGAAGACCTACTTTCTGGTCAAGGTTTCAATGCACACAAAGACAAGAAGGGGCCTCGAACAATAGCTGAGATGAGAAAGGAAGAAATGGCTAAGGAAATGGATCCTGAGAAATTAAAGGTGAGTCCTTGGTCCAGTGTGATTATCCTGTATGACAAGGTAGTGTGTGTGTAGTTATCCGGTTCCTAGTCCCCAGCTTCCGCAGTGCTTTCCTCCACTTCTAACCAGAGCAATTCTGCTTTTATCTGCTTCTGATCTCGAAGTCTAAGAAGATTTGACTTGGAGAAAAAGAATGTTTCTCCATTTTTTTTTAAAGTTTGAAAACCAGCTCTTCTAACTACCTTACTTCACAGATGAGGAAACAGAGGATAGTTCATTGATGAGGCTGCTGTTGGACAGGGGGCCCAGGTTAGCTTGGAAACAAAAGAGTGGTTATGCTGATGAGGTGTGTGAGGTAGTAGAAGAGCTTATAAACATCAAGAGAATAGGAATGCCCTTCAGAGAGGGAGGGGTACAGGTCCTATGTGACAAAATACTGCACAGGCTGCCACTATAACAGACTGGAAGATGAGGGTCCAATCTGTTATTGCTTCAAAGGACTAGTACAGCCAGTCCATCATTTGGAAAAAATATAACACATTTCTAGACAGATTTGAACATTAGTTGAGGATGTATAGTTAGATTCTTGGGTACATTTTTAAGTACAGTAGAAAATCCTTTGTTTGTATTTGCTTTTCTCTTCATATAACATCACAGAAGCTTTATGTTCCTTCCAAAAAGTTTGTGCTCCATCGTGGTAACTTTTGTTCAATAGGCAAACTGACCTGGGCATGTGCCCTGATGGGAATCAATCCATGACCTCCTGGTTCATAGGTTGATGCTCAACTGCTGGGCTTAACAAACCTTTTTGAGCTCTATTCTGTACCAGGAGAGTTATTTGGTTTCTGAGAAAGGGTGTTATGTAAGAAATAATACCTTTCTTCAAACAGCTCTGCCTCATGCAGAGAAGGATAAACACACAGACAATTATAATGAAGTGTGGCACATCTATAATAATAAAAGGGTAATATGCTAATTAGACCAGATATCCATCTGGATGTCCTTCCGAACAAAGCCATGGTGGCAGGAGCTGAGGTAGAAGTAGTTAGGGGTGACCAGGCTGGCAGGGGAGGTCAATTAAGGGTGACCAGGCCAGCAGACAGAGGCAGTTAGGGATGATCAAGCTGGCCAGCAGGCAGAGGCGGTTAGGGGTGATCAAGCAGGCAGAAGAGCAGTTAGGGACATAGGCAGGCAGGCAGAGTGGGTTCGGGGTGATCAGGCAGGCAGGTAGGCAGGCAGGTGAGCGTTTAGGAGCCAGTGGTCCCGGATTGTGAGAGGGACATCTGACTGCTGGTTTAGGCCAGATCTCCCAGGGGTTGGGCCTAAACTGGCAGTCAGACATCTCCCAAGGGGTCCTGGATTGGAGAGGGTGCAGGCCAGGCTGAGGGAACCTCCCATGCATGAATTTTGTGCCCGGGGCCTCTAATATTATGATAGAAACATATTTAAGGGAATAGTCTGGGAAAGTTCTTTTTTTTTAAGGGGCTTTTATTTTACTGTATATTAGTATACTGGATACTGTATCAGACAGAATTGGACAGCAGGAATCAAAATAGAAAGGGTGTATGTCCCCATGGAGTGTATACTTTAGGAATGAATAATTCACTCTGGGGCGGGGCAGAGAAGAAGGAACTCAGACTCTCAAAGGGGAAAAGTATGAAATTTCTCAGCAGGCTTTTGAAGGATTTTCAAGAGTTAACCAAAAAGAGAAGGCAGGAAGTGGAGGTGGGAAAGCTTTCCAGGTAGAGGAAGCAGCATGGAGCACGCAGGGGGCCTCAGGTACTTTGATGTTGCTGGAGCAGAAGGGGTTCCTGAGAGTCCCAGTAAAGACCTTCTGAATTTCTTAATTCCCCTGCTTTTACAGATTCTGGAATGGATTGAAGGCAAAGAGAGAAATATCAGAGCACTTCTCTCCACGATGCACACTGTGCTGTGGGCTGGGGAGACCAAGTGGAAGCCAGTCAGCATGGCAGACCTGGTAACGCCAGAGCAGGTGAAGAAGGTGTACAGGCGGGCTGTGCTGGTGGTGCATCCAGACAAAGTGAGCATAACCTACCCTGTTGTATTGCCTGTTTGCTTTTCATTTCGTTAGTTTATAAACTTGCATTAAAGCAGCATACCTTCTTCTTTTAAAAAATTGCTTTTATTAATTTCAGAGAGGAAGGGAGAGCGAGAGAGAGAAGCATCAAGGATGAGAGAGAATTCATATACCGGCTGCTTCCTGCACACACCACCCTGGAGCTCACGCCCATAACCTGGGTATATGCCTGTCCAGAATTGAACCATGACCTCCTGGTTCATGAGTCGATGCACTACCACTGAGCCACACCAGCTGGGCAAAACATCATACTTTCAATTTGCTGTTTATTGGGCCATTTATATGATAAAATAAAATTCATGGGCTAAAATCCCGTATTTAAGCAAACGTTATAAAGTGGATAAAAAAAAAAAATCACACTACATATTACAAACAGCGGAATGGGGGCTTTTCTTAGAGAGGAATAAGATTCACCAGTGACTGATTTTTAGGATCTCCAAGAACTTAGCTACATTTAGAAATGAGAAAATGGGAGTTTAGAAATACAATCAATTGGAGACAGGTTGTCATAATCCTTTGTCATTTGGTGGATAATTCTGGAAATCTTCTAGAGACTAGAGAAGAATCTTTTCCTGCCCAATATGTTCTCTGTTACCTACTCATTGACCTACCGTATGTGAATTTCCAGGGAGAAGGCATACTGTGGAGGTCATAGTAATTACGGTCACATCGATGGGCTGTAAGAGGAGAAATGGCTTCATAGGAAACATTTCAGTAACATAGAGTCCACATATTAGCAGTGAAAATTTAATATAAATAAGATTCTGGTCTGTGGTATCTAATGTGTGTTTCATTTTTTCTATAGGCTACTGGGCAACCCTATGAACAATATGCAAAGATGATTTTCATGGAGCTCAATGATGCCTGGTCTGAATTTGAAAATCAAGGCCCAAAGCCCTTGTATTAATTTGTGAGCTTTTACCTTTCTGCTGCAGACCTGTGCTAATGCTTAGTGTATGTCACAGTTCTGAGGTTTTCAAAGTGAACCAAAAACTCCAGTAACGTGTATCCAGTACTAAACTGTTAAATTACTCAGTGAATTAGTTCCTCATTGATAAGGAATGTGGATATTCCTTTTCTCAAGTCTCCACCATAAAAGGTCCAAAGCAGGAGAGGACTTTTTAGTCAGCTGACCTTGCAGAGTTACAACATTCCAGCCTGTCCTTTGAGGAGCCTACTCAACATATGGTGGGGAAATGGAAAACAGAGGCCACCAGAAGCATAACCCCCATCTCATTGGGAATAGGATTAATGAGCAGAAGTTATAATAACAGGATTACATGAAGGATTTTAACTAATGGATTTTAGATTTTCTTGGAAAGTTATAATTTGAGCAAAGGCTTTAGACTCCAGGAATACAACCACCTAGTTTTTTTTGTTGTTGTTGTTGTTTTTAATGGACATTTACTATGATTTTAACATAACACTATATACTTTTGTTCAAGAGGACTAACAGATGCAAGTGAACTTGAATTGTGGGAAGTGGTTTACTACAATCCAGTAATGACCACAAACTCTTAAAATTAGAGAAAATGTTGGATAAAGAAAATAGGGACTCTAAAATTTTTTTATCCTTGTCAGAAAGGTAGGCTGCTACCTTATTTTCCCTTTAGAAAACTGTTTGCTTAATGAAAAAAAAAAATCTCAATACCATAACAACAACTCAAACTGATTTGAAAGAAACTTATGATTCTGCCATTAGGCTTAAAGTTCTTCCTTTTGCTTAGCCGAGAACATGTTCTTAGTTTGACGTAAAGCAGTTTGGCACATTCACAAGTTACCAGGACCAATCTGGAGAGGGGACTGAATGTCCTCTAGGTTTCTGAGTGGTTGTGGTGGGAGAGTAGAAGACAACACTGAACACAGGGATAGTTGCAGGAGGAAGCTGGGCTGACCTTTAGTCCCAGTCAGATGGCTTGTCAAGATTTTTAGGTTCCTCTCCCCAGTTGATACACTGAATTCCTTGGATTATCAGTGGGGTTTATTGCTTTAAAAGTTGTTGGGGATCCACAGGAACAGCATTCATCCAGGGACATCTGTGAAAGCAAAGCAAGAATGAAACCTTTTACGGACTTTAAGTGGGTTGGATTTCAGTTCATTGTTTTGGCTGTTTGTGGTTTTAAGAGGTAAGCAGTTGTGATCCTGTGACTATAGTAGATCTCTTTGGTGCACACATACACAGTGAGCATTATATATATATATATATATATATATATATATATATATATATATATATATATATGCAAAGCAGATGGGCAAAAAGATTCCCATGCTAATATTGTGAAAGCTTTCAAAAATTGTTTTCCAAGACAATCATTTTTTTTCTAGTTTTCTTGTGGCAAACTGTACCAGAGAAGCAGCATGTCAAAATGCTTTATGTTCCAAATTAGGGGGAAAAAATGATCTATGTTCCATGTAAAACTCTTTTTCCTTTTTTTTTGTTAAAAATATTTGTTTTCTATTTTACTTTTTACTGACAATGTGAAACTTGCAAAAAAAATGTTCTTTTTAAATATACAGCTATAAACTGTTCAAGGTAACCATAACAAACTAGGTGTTATTTATTAACATATTACAAAATAATGTTTGATCCAGTATGTGCTTGTCTTATTTAAAATTGGAATGTGAGACATGTTGCTGTGACTTGTTTTTTCCCCCTCATTCATATTTGTAGATATTGTGTGAACTACAGTATATAATGGATAATAATTAAAAGGATATGTGAATGCCACGTACATTTTGAAATGATAGAACTATATTAACTTTGTATCATGTTTGGGTAATTCATCACTGGTCACAGTTTAAAACATCATTAAACATTATGTATTTAGCAATGAGAAAGAATCTTCCCTAATCTAATTTTGGGTCTCCCCCATCTCTTTTCCAAATACGTTATAACTCTGGACCCCTATTTATCTTAAAACCCTTAACATAAGCAGTCCAACAGGTTTTGGCATTCCTTTTAAATATCTGGTTGTGACAGAGCTTCTTGTTGGTCAAATTCGCCGTTTCATTCATTCATATTTATTGTAATATATTTTTGTTTTGTAAATATGTTACACATAAAATGTGATTGTTTAAACTATTTGTAATGTATATTAAAAGGCTCAAAAATATGTGTAGAAATCTGTTATTTTTGCACTCGTAGGAATATAATGACAAGCTTGAATTATACCTTCTGACATGATTTACATTTTTAAAAAGTTATGGGCAGAAAATATGGAAAGCCTAGAACCCATTTGTACCAAACTGTAATCTGACAGGATTTCTGCATTTATACTCTACCCACCCCAACTGCCACCCTGGCCCCATGGCACACACAGTTGGATCATGCTACACGAATACTATAATATGTTTCAAAAAGGATCAGCATAGAAATCCTGGTCTCCTAGCTAGAATATTGATGGGCTTCAAAGCTTCATTTGCATGCTAACGCAGAGGGATTGGTCCTGGGAGTTTTAATAAGTGCACCTTCCATCTATGAGGAGACATGGGAGGAGCGAGGACAATAAACTAAACAAACAGGCCATTAAACGTGTGTGGAGACTACAGTATACTCAGTATGCAGTTTTGAAAAAGTAGACCGAGCAGGAATCTGAAAGGTGGTGGTGGGGTGAGAATTTGTACTTCTCAGATAGCCAGGGAAACCCCGGATTCCCATGAAACCCTTTATCTTTTAACTTTTGTTGAAAATTAAGCAAAAGCTATCGAAGATGGACAGGGCTATGCAAAATGACCCTCTGCGTTGGGCTCAGGCCCTGGGAGATACATCACGGTATATGGTGGGGGTGACTTTGCAGGGATGGCCCAGGATGTGGATCCAGAGGCAAGTGCCCAACTCCGGGAGATGGGGGCGGAGCTACGCGAGATGGGGGCGGAGCTCTGCGTAGCGGGGGTGGGCTGGACGCGCGGTGCCGCCCCTGGCCGGGCGTGGGCGGGGCTGTGGCTGGAAACCGGAAGCAGCCGCGGCCCCAGCTCCGGAGACATGGCGGGCATTAAAGGTACCTCTGCAGCCGGCCGTGGTCGCCTCTCGCCGGTCCTGTGTGAACCTGGCGCTGTGCTTCCAGCGCGTGGGCGGGAAGCGGCCTCCCCCATCCCGCCGCGCACCCCGCCTCTCCGGGGGGGGGGGGGGAAGCGCGCGCCCACCCCCTGTCCCGTCTTCTTGGGTTGCAGGTGGCGGGTGGGTGCGTGGGCACCGCAGCCCCGCATTGTTTTGCTAGGCCACTGGCCCGGCCCTCGCGGGGAGCGGCGCCCGCCTAGGGGACCCGGAAAGCATCCCCTCCCGGCTCCTCAGCCTCTTCGGAAGGTCTCCCCATCCCACCCCTTTGGACCACCGAGTCTTTTAAGGAGGTTCCCACTTCCTGACTTGTCCACCCCGGCGCCCCTTCTCCTTCTCTTCCTGCGGTTCCGCGAGCCTTTGTCTGCAGTGCTCTCGGCTTTGGGACATCGAATCCTCTCGCTCCTTGGTGATTTTTTCCCAACGAGGCCGAATCCACTGCAGGCGGGTGGGTGTTCGTGGAAAGCACCTAGAAAAGCTGCATTTCTCGTAATCGTGGAGAGCCAATTAGGTGGAATTTTATCGTTACTTTCATCTTTCTTTGGGCACACAAGAAAGGGGTGTTTTGTGCAGTGTGTATTTTTGAAGGGTGCGGTTGATTAAAAAAAAAAAGGAAGGGTGGTGTGGCTGATAAAACAGGGGTACCAAGAACACCGTTTCCCTTATCTGTATGCCTCCAGAGGCCTGGGGGATGCCAGCGTTGGGAGAGGTGATTGGAAGGTTTCCTGTTATTTTTGGGAGGAAACCATGAGATTCGTAATCTTTTGAATAGAGGGCATAACTTGTTTCTTTGCTGGAGTTCCTATTTTCTTCAAAATGTGTACCCAAAGATCCCCCCACCACCACCACCACCTGCTAGTAAACTTGTATACCACGTATTTTTGCACGCATGGGTATGTTCACCGTGAAATTTACACCTGAGCGCTTGAGCTGTTGGCAGCAAATTTTATCATCATTTCTGGGTGACCTTTTATATTCGACATCAGTTTAGTGAACATGATTTATCTGGACAGTGACATTGGAAGCCAGTGGAAGCCAGTGCTGAAGACAGTTGACAAAGTTAGTATCTGTATTGCACTGTTTAGTCATGCCCAGAAACTATATATCAAGTAATAATGTTTATGTGTGAATGTGTTAGCAATGGTGAAGGAAGCTAGGTTTTGATATGGAAAAGGATTAAGGAAGGCAGCTTTTGTCGTGAACTCGGGGATTACTGCCTGCCCCAGACTTGGCATAAAAAGATACATGGGGAATTGTTGGGCAAGGGTGTTGGAAATAGTTACTATGTTCCTAGCTAAGGCATGCTCAGATACAGTGGGAGCACAAAGGTGGTGTTGTGGTGGAATCATGTCTCTCTAATAGATGCGTTCTGACTCCCCAGGACCTGTCAAGGTGACTTTTTCTGGAAATAGGGTCTTTGCACATGTAATCAAGTTAAGTTAATACTGGATTTGATTGGGCGCTCACTCAAGGGCTATTATAAGAGAAATTTGGACGTGGAGACATGTAGGGACAGCATAGAAAAATAGCATATGAAGTTGAAGGCTGAAGGAAGAGTAAGGCAGCTGCAAGCCAAGGAGCATCAAAGGTTGCCTGAAGCCACTGGGACATGGACACCAGGATGGACACCAGACACCTTCCCGACACCGTGAAGCCTCCAGAACTGGAGGAAATGAATTTCCGTTGTTCTGAGCCACTCACTGTTGTTACTACACTTGATCTTAGCCAAAAGGCCGAGAAGCGATACATTGTTAATAGCAGCCCTAGTAACTAATAGAGATGGGATCGCTTGACCCTGCTTTGGGGACGAGAAGGACCATTTCTACAGAAGAGGCAATCCTTGAATGGAAGCGAAAAGGATCAGTAAAGCTTCGCCTGGCAAAAGCTGGGGTGAGCATAGAGTTTATTCCAAGTGGAAAGAACAGCCTGTGACACAGAGCAGAGGGCAAGAAAAGAGCACGCCTGTTCTCTTCAACTGTGTTATTAAGACTGGATCTTAATGGGAGAGTGGTAGGCAGTCAGGGATCAGACCAGAACAACGTGTTGGCTACGAAAGCAACTGCCAAGGGGTGACACCAGCTTTGTATATTTGAGTGATCACTGTCTGCTGTGTGGAGGGTGGATTGGCAGAGAAGCTTAGAGCCAGGCATGGGATGATAAGGGCCTGCTCTAGGGCAGTAGCAGAGGGTGCAAGAGAAGCAAGCTGCTAGAAAGCGGGTGGCTTAAACAAACATTTGTTTTCGTAGTTCTGGAGTTTGGGAAGTCCAAGGTCAAGATGTCAGCAGATTTGATGTGAGGGCCTGCTTCCTGGTTTATAGACAGCTATCTTCTTGATTCTTCACATGGTGGAAAGGGTAAGGGAGCTCTCTGGGGTCTCTTCTGAGGGCACTAATCCCATTGATGAGGGTTCTGCTCTTGTGGGCTGATCTCCTCCCAAAGACCTTGCCTCCCAGTACCATCACGCTAGGCCTTAGGATTTAACATGAGTTTTGAGGGTTGAGGTGAGGCTGGAATACAAGCTTTCAGTCTATAGGAGTGAGGGCTGGGAGATTAAGTCACTTTGATTTGCTGTTTTTCTGAAGGACATAGTACAATGATGGTGTTGGTATTTCAAAGTAGAACCTTCAAAGGGAAGAAATGTATGTGGTGGGGGAGAGAGTATGGAGGTTCACATCTTGAATTTGAGGTCCTTGTTGGCTACTCAGATGGAGAAGACAAAATTGGAGTTGGAGGTGCAGCCTTTATGTGGCCAGATCCTTGCAGTGCTGGGGAGCTTTGGGTGGAACGCTTCGTTTCAACAAGAGTATAGAGTGAAAAAAGATGAAGTTGGAATACTGATTTGCTCCAACTTTAAGAGGAAGAGAGAATGCAATTTCTGGGGGGGAAAAAGGGGGAGGGGAACTAAAAAGAATCAGCCAGAGATACACAGTTGTGAGCCTTGAGAGATACACAGTTGTGACACAGACCAGAAAGAAGAGGTAGGTCTGCAGTCCCTAGCTTTGAAAACTGTCCTGGAGGAGGGAGCAGTACAGATAGATGGTCAGGCACAGGGAGGGGACAAAGACAACTAGGAAGAGATTCTCCTTAATGAAACAATATATAAAAACTTACTTTTGTACATTTTTCTTTAAAAAGTGACACCTACCAAATGGAAAAATATTCAAATTAAAGTTATTCTTTCCTTTTTCTCTAATACCCACATACTTCGAGGTGTTTCTTAAAAGCACTTTGGCACCTTCCTATAAAACATTCCTTCCAAATCTCTTAATGTAATAGTAAGCAGTGAGAATGTTGGTTAGTTTAATCAGTGACTAATTTTGAGTGTTGGGTATTTTTTTCAGAAGGATATTTGGATAATATAGTGTCCTATGCTTCTGATTTATACCATTTCAAAGAACATTGCTAAAATGAGCCGATACATCCATCAACATTTACTTATTGAATCCCTCCTTTTGCCAAGCACTTTACATAGATTATCTCATTTAATTACTATAAGCTCCCTAATAAGGTGGTACCATTATACTATTTTACAGGTGCGAAATCAGATTTAGAGAAGTTTAGCTTCTACACACGTTTACACAACCAGTTGTCAGAGAAGATTTGAACAAATGTTGGTGACTCAGAGCTCAAGAATTTTTTTAAACACATTAGCAGCATAAGGACAGATGTGTTCCTCTCCTCTCAGAGATTAGTGTCCTAAAGATGCCAGGAATAAATATTTTATTTAGTAGTTGAGGATAATTTTCTATGGGAAGGCAAAAATGACCAAAGTGTATATATTTCAGAGAAACAGTTTTGTATATAATTTGAGGAAAGAAGGTTTTAAACGTTTAGAAACTGTCAGAATGAAATGACCTGCCTCAGGTGGTAGTGAGTTTCCTTTCACTGGAGTTGTACAGACTGGCTGGCTGCCCTCTTCTGACAAATATAGAGGGAATTAATACAGTAGATAGAAGTTGGGTACTGGAAATTCTTGAGACCTTTCTCCACCTAATGATTTCAAAGTGGTAAGCATAGGCAATGATATGCTAGTTGAATGTAACATCAACTAATGAAATAAGTAAATTGCTACATTTGCTTAAATTGTGGACTTAATTTTTTTAATTAAAAATTTTTATTGAGATACGTTCACATACTACAAAATTATCCTTTTCAAAATGTTAAATTTTTTGTTGTTTTTTCTTTTAATATATTCACAACCATCACTACTATCTAATTCCAAAACATTCATCACCCCCAAGAGAAATTCTATACCCAATATAGTCACTTCTCATTCCTCCCCTCCTACTCCAGCCCCTGGCAACCACTGATCTAGAACCTGTAACTCTTGGCTTTATCTTTCACAGCTCTTGTGTTATTATCCTTCAGTGGGGCTATTGGACTGACGTTTCTTATGCTGGGATGTGCCTTAGAGGATTATGGGTAAGTTATTTTAAAAAAATATTCTTTTGTGTATTCGTCACTATTTTGTATGTATGTGTCATGAGTGTTAGGGAGTTTGGTCAGTTTAACACCAAACTCCAACCAATGAGTTAGTGAAGCCCAAATTATGAACCCAATCCCTTCATAGGTCATTTGTACCTATGAAGAGAAAAGCTTTTTTTAAAATTGATATATTTATTTAATTTAATAAGCACTTACTGAATACCTTCTCTGGATCAGCTGGGAATGCAAGAATGAAGAGACAGTGTCCTAGCTGGTTTGATTCAGTAGATAGACAATCAGTCTGTAAACTAAAGGGTCTCGGGTTCAATTCTGGTGAAGGCATATGGGCTGGGTTGTGTGCTCAATCAATCCCCAATATGTGCAGGAGGCAGCTAATCAGTGATTCTCTCTCATCATTGATGTTTCTATCTCCCCCTCTCTCTTTCTATCTGAAATCAATAAAAATATATTTAAAAAGAAAAAAAGAATAAAGAGACATAGTCCTGTCCTCAAGAGGCTTACATTGGGTGAGAGACAGGTGAACTATCTAGTTAGTAAGACAACTGTAGTGGAGATATGGGAAAAGTACAGTGAAAGCTTTGAGAAAGTGCATCAGAGTATCAAAATTTTCCTGGGACAGTTGGGGAGGGCTGCACAGAAGTTGTCTTTTTAGCCAAGACTTGGTGGATAAATGAGAGTTTATCAGGAGGAGTTGCGAGGGAACAATTCAACAAATTTCTTTATTCACAAGTATTAGTTGAGTGCTTGCTGTTTTCCTGCTGTTGTTATGGTAACTGGGGATCCTGTATAATAAAAGAGAAACATGTAAACTGATCTTACTCTGCTATGCTCATCAGCCAATCAAGAGTGAGTATGCAAATTAACCCAACAAAGATGGCAGGTTAATTTGCATACACAGGTGCCATGCAGAGAAGAGCAGAGTGGGAGAGCCGGCAAAGAATGAAGCAGCTTGGGGCTTGGGGAACTTGGCAGAGCGGGAGGCCATGGGATACAGAGCAGGAAGGGAAAATCAAGAGCGTGGGGAGCACCAGGAATGCTGGGAATCATAGTTCAGGTGGCAGACGATCTCCTAGACACTAGAGCAAAGTGGGCCTGGAGCAAGTTACTGTTACAGTGGAGGATGGAGGGAAAGCAAAGGTGAGAGACATAAGTAAAATCAGAGTGTCTAGGAAATATTAAAGGGAAGATATCCTAAAACTTCCAGGAAATCTCCATTAGTGAAGCAAAAAAAAAAAAAAAAAAAAAGCCTCTATTCTGTGAACAACAAACCATTCTGGGCTGAAGTCTCAATTTGCTCATATGATTGCAAAGATAGACAGAAACTCCCAGATTATAGAGGGCTCCCCTGTGGGCTCCCAGATTGGAGAGGGTGCAGGTCGGGCTCAGAGACCCCCACTTCCCCTTCCACCCCTGCACAAATCTTCATGCACCAGGCCCCTAGTTAAGAAATAAGAAAACACGAGTTTTGCTCTGTTGGAGTCTGTATTTCAGAGGGGGAGGCAGATGGTAAACAGATTTTGCAATGTGCATGCTGCCCTGGTTGGTGCAGATCAGTTGGTTGAGCATTGTCCCATGCACCAAGAGGTTGCTGATTTGATTTCTGGTTAACACGTGCCTGGGTTGTGGGCCCAATTCCCAGTAGGAGGGTGAAGGAGGCAGCCAATTGATGGTTCTCATCAATGTTTCTCTCTCTAAAAATCAATAAAAAATTATTTAAAATAAAATACACTTGTTATCAGAGGTAGAAGTATTAAGAATAAAGGGTAAAGGACACAGGGGATAGTGGTTATTGTACTGAAATGTTGAACCATTGGGGATGGGACAATATAACCAGGAAATAGGAATTGAGACCAAATTTTTCCATAAGTGAAGATTAGATAAGTGGAAGTTAGGTCTTATGGGCCTTCGTTACAAAAAATACTCTGGATCATTTCTATCCTGTGAGCTATCATGATCCAAGTTTTGCCATTTGTTTCATTTTTCTGTCTTTTTTATTTATTATAACACGTATATAGCTATACAAAGACTATTATCATATACATCTTCATTAATCATAAGCAGTTGGACTATTAGCAAAACCCAAAGAACAAATATATTATTATAACATATCATTAGCATACAGGTAAAAACAAACAAACTGGTTTCTGAGTTTAGCATTGATCTGAAGATATACAGACACAGGCCTTGTCAGTGTTTTTGGGATAGCTGTCTATCTCTGATGTCAGTGGCTTCTCATTCTAGAGAAATCTCTGATGTCTGTTGTAGGCGGAGGCAAGTATCAGAGATGGCTAGATGTCTGTTCGCAGTTAGGTGCTGATAGGTCCTGTCCAGTGAGGTTGGAGAGTGTGTTTTATTTGATGTCCTCTCCAGTAAACTAGGTGGTAGTTAATGATTCTTAGTCTTTGTCTTCTGGTTGCTTCCTGGGAAAGGAAGCGGTTACCTATTTGGCATTTTCTGGTAGTGACTTTATCTAACTTTGACAATAGTGTAAACTGTCTCCTTTCAATAATGTCAGCTCATAAGTTCCTTCATCTAATCTAAGTCCAGCTTGAATGCACTACGAGGCATGAAGGAATGTATAAATACTGGAAAAAAATGGTGTTTTCCAGGGAGCCTCAAAGAACCACGTAGCCATGTTGGGTTTCCCATATCCCCAACTATTCATTTTATTTATAGCCATTTTTCACCTTGGTAGCATACCCTAGAAGTCTTTTATCACTTATTTTACAATTAAATAATTCCCATGCAATTTAACATTAAAAAAAAAAAAAGTCCTGATTAGTTTAAAACATCTCTGTTGTAAGAAGAGAGAACAGGTCTTTTTTAGTTGTCCCCGGGTTCATTTTGGAGCACAGTAAAGTTGATATTTTAACCCTTACAACCTTAATTTCCAGTGAAAACTAAGAAGTCAAATTTATGAAGACAGTTTATAAACTCTAGAAACATTTCATAGATGTATAACTCAATTATTAACATGGACTTATTTTTACAAAACCCTGGATAAAACATAATATAACTGTATTATATTTAAAATATCAGCACAAAAGACATGTCAGTTCTACTTAAACCATCAAGATTAAACTAGCTTTTATTTACTAAGGGTTAATCTTAGATCATGTGAACTTACAAAGCATCTGAGTTAGTTTCTATACTTCTGAGAATTTTGAAATACCCAATCGCAAGTGCTTGCCTTTAAATTAATTTTAATAATACCATCCAGAGGTGGAAAATTATCTCACATTTTCAGTGTTCACATGTAGACACAAACAGAGACCTTTGGCTATGAGAAAAACTCACTAGTATGTAAAAAATCAGTTGGACCCAAATTTTGTTTTGAGGCATTTATAATTTATATTGTTAATGTAAGAAATGTTTAAATCTGTGGAGAATTTTTATAAGTCTTTATTTAAGCCAAAACTGACAACAATTGTTGGAAAGTAAGACCTCAAATGCTTGGAAGAATAATAGTTTTTGCAGTTTCTTTTATGCATTTAACATGTAAAGAAAATTACCTGAAGTTGGGAGAGAAAAGATTATGAGCTCTCTTGAGGGGAGCTATGCTTATTTCAAAGGTGTATTAACCTAGATGCACAGAAAAATAGACAGGGCTTGCTTGAGGCTAAGATAAATCTTTCACTAAAGAAGTTATATGCTGCCCAGTCAGTGTGCTAAGTAGATGAACGTCGACTCATGAACGAGAACATATTTAGTTTGATTCCCAGTCAGGGCACGTGCAGGGTTGTGATCTTGACCCCCAATTGGTGTCATGCAGGAGGCTGCAGATCAATGATTCTCTCTTATCATAGATGTTTCTATCTCTGTCTCCCTTCTGCTTCCCCTCTGAAATCAATAAAAAACAAACAAACCACATTTGAAAAAAAGAAAGTTATATTCTTGGAGCGTGACTACCCACCATGATGGCCATTTAAGATTTTATGATCAGATCTTCCTGTGAGGTTATTTTTCATCACTGAACTTGTAAATACCCTCCCCCCCCCCTTTTTTTTTTGTCCACAACGGCTTCCTGTAAATGGGAACATAGATTTTCTTCAGAAAACTTATTGTATTCTAGGAAGAATTAAGAGCTCTTTGCTGTGGATATGTCAGGAAGCAGCTGGGTCTAGTCCAGTCCTTTTTTCCAATCTGTGTCTGTTTCCTCACTTGTCCAATAATGGCTTTAAACCAGAAAATTTCTAAAAAACAAACAAAACCCTGACAATATTGTTTGGTGATTCTTTTTGAAAAAGAAAAGTTCTTATTGAGTTCAGAGTGGAAAGAAGAGGGAAAGAGGGAATCATTGATTGGCTGCCTCTTGCCAGCCCCCCACTGGGAATCAAGCTTGCATTCCAGGCTTATACTCTGGCCCAGTATCAAACCATGACCTCCTGGTTCATGGGTTGATGCTCAACCATTGGGTTATACTGGCTGGGCTATTGGGTGATTCTTGAAATATACTGTATTTCATTAAAAATAATATTTAAAATAATATCAACTATGAAACAGTAGAATGTCTTAACTGTAACTTTTCTTTTTGCATTTCTCCTGGTTCCAACCAACAGTGTTTATTGGCCCTTGTTCGTCCTGATATTTCATGCCATTTCTCCCATTCCACATTTCATTGCCAAAAGAGCAACGTATGACTCTGATGCAACAAGCAGTGCCTGTCGGGAACTGGCATATTTTTTCACTACTGGAATTGTTGTTTCTGCCTTTGGATTTCCTGTTATTCTTGCTCGTGTGGCTGTGGTGAGTTTTGTTCTCTATTGTTTTGCCCAGTTGTCACTGCATTTACTTCGAAGGCCTATGTCTGGACCACAATTTCATTTGCATTGCTTAGACTTCATACTCAAAGCCAAGCATATTTTCAGTCAATCTAGTCTACATTTTAGATCTACCTTACAATGTCTTGGCCTATTTGCAGAATGCCTTTTTTAGTTTCTCTTATAACTTTTAGCCAGGCCAAATGACTTCTTGCTTTTTCTACTTTAAGCTATTATCTGGAATTGTTCTTGAGTCCTTGCCTTTTATCTTAATGGCAGTCTATAGAGACTACAATAACAATACTTTTCTAGTTTCAAAATGAACATATAAATGAGTTTTGATCACCCAATTTAAATATTTGTGGAGTGGGAGTTTCCCCCCCATCTCCAACGAGCAATTTCTAACACCAGCTTGGCGTCCAACAATTCATCTTGATTCTGACACTGTCTCTCCCGAAGTAGTACAGTATTAGATGCCACATGTTAAGGGTTTGGTCCCACATGACTGCTCTCTGTTTTAGTTGCCAATCAAAAGTCCAGGTTGTCACTTGAGTTTCTGACTGGCTATAAATCAGAGGTCCTCATAACCCTTATCTTCCGTTTAATTGATGTGTTCACAGAATTCAGGAAAGCCATTTACTCACTACATTACAGTTTAAATATAAAAAGAACAGCCTGATGGGAGAGCTGCTTAGAAGAGTTTCCAGAATGTTTCACTCTGCCCCAATCACCAGCCTAGAAGTTCTTCAAATGCCTTCGTTTTGGGTTTTTATGGAGGCTTTATAACACAGGCATGATCCGTCACTAGTGATTGAATGAATCTCCATTCCCCCTTTCCCTTCCCCAAAGGTCAAGGGAGAATGGGGCTAAAAGTTTTATTCCTCTAAGCACATGCTTGACCTTTCTAGCAACCAGCTCCCATTCCTTGGTGCTTTATAAAAGTCACCATCTATATAATAAAAGCCTAAGATGTTAAGTGTCCAGTCGTCTGTTTAACCAATCAAAGTGTAATATGCTAATGATATGCTAAGGCCTTTCAGCTGCTCACTATGATGTGCACTGACCACCAGGGGGCAGATAGTCGACCGGTCAACCAGTTGCTATGACGTGCACTGACCATAGAAGCAGATGCTCTGACTGGTAGGTTAGCTTGCTGCTGGGGTTCAGCTGCTCAGTTCTGAGCGAGATGGGCTGGATATGCCCTGGAGTTCTCCCGCAGACCTTCCCCAGCTGGCTGACCTCCTGCATCCCTTCCTGCCCCGATTGTGCACCAGTGGGATCCCTTGGCCTGGCCTGCATCCTCTTGCAATCTGGGACTCCTTGGTTTTGGCCAGATCCCTCAGGCCAGGTTAAGAGACCCTACTGGTGTAGGAATTAGTGCACTGGGCCTCTAGTATTAACATAATAAAAGTTACCTTAATCACTGTTATCACTTAGGAAATTTCAAGTGTTTTAGGTGCTATGTTCCAGAAAGGAGAAGATCAAATATGCCCTATCTAATAAAGAGGGAATATGCTAATTGACCCTCATGCTGTCACCAAGATGACAGTGCCCACAGCCAATAAGGAGGGAATATGCTAATTACTGCCTCACCCTCAAAGATGGTGGCCACAAGATAGTGGTGCCTAGTCCCCTCAGCCCTGCCTGCCTCCAGAGTTCCCCAGTCCTCTCAGGCCCCCAGCTGCCCAGGGCTGGCCCAAGGCACAGGCAAGCCTTGGATGGTGGCTGCCCAGCTGCTCAAGGCCACCCGAGGCTCAGGTAACCAGGGCCGGCCAAGGCTTGTGGTGCTGGCAACGGCAGCAGCAGAGGTGTGATGGGGGCATTATTATAAAACACAGTATTATTATAAAACACAGTAACACAATATCATATCAAATTCTTCTTCAATAGGATTATGGACACAATCTTCAAGTCAACACAGTAGGTATATGTTAAGGGACAACTAACTATATAGCTGTTAGGAATAGAGTGAATAAAAAACACATCTTGGGTATATTTATTCCATTCTTTGACATTCACTGTCTTTCATACTCTTTTATTTTTTTTAATGGTGATTTTTTAAATGGTGATTTTTTTATACTCTTTGTTTTTATTTCCCCAATTACATACTGTTTCAATTTAATGAAACTTATTGGGACATTGAATATCAGATATGTACAAGTCTTATGTATTCATTTAATATTTTTGTAACATTTGCTATTTGTCAGACACAAAGAATAAGAACCAGATGCTGTCTCTGTTCCCAAAGAGCACAGAAACTAGCCTGATGGATAAGCTTATACTAAATGCAGTGTGGTAATTAAAGTAGTATCAGAATGCCTTGAGAACACTTGGAGAAATACTAACTGGCATTTGATGTGGTTTTTGGTAAATGGGGTTTTGATTAAAGTAGGCTGTTAAATGGAATGACATCCAACTTTGGAATATAGAGCAGTAGTCCAATATGATGGAGCAAAAGGAGTAATTGAGATTGAGGTTAGAAAGGTGGGTGAAGCCTGATCAGGAAGGGTTTGGAATGTCCTACCAGTTTGAACTCTTTCTAGATAATAGAGAAGCATCAGTGGTGTTTGAATGCAAGATTGTCATGACCTTATTCTTTTTATACCTCAGACTAAGTGCTTCTTAAATTTTTCTCTAAAGATTTGTATTTTTACCTTTCATTACCACATCATGTTATATGAAGCAACTTCCATTGATGTTTTCTATTGGTTAAATTAAAACAAAAAAATGCCCACTAGAGGGTACTCTCATCCCCAGCTGTACCTCTGTAAAATCATCTGCCACGCTGGAAAGCTATTTTCATGTGCATGCAGATTATTTTTAAAAATCATTTCTTGCCTAGAAAAGAAACAAATCTGTAATTCTCTAATTCCTGTTTTTGTGAAAGAAGGCAGTGTGTATAGAACTTTCAGTACCCAATGTTGCAATTGAACCTTTTATAATATGCTGCATGTATTTTACTTCAGGCCATCATTGTCTACTGAAAGCAAGTAGAGAAATATGTCTAATGGAGAAAATGTTACGGATGATACTAGACTTAATTAACAAGCATCATGAAGTAATTAGACTAATTACTGAATAGTTCACTGTCTCCTGCCTATTACATTAAGCCTTTTAGCAGTTTTATGTAATATTTCATTGAATTTTTCTAATGCAGAAAATAATAGATTTGCAAAGAATGTAATATGATGAAAGTAAATATTTAATCCTTTTTTCTTGTGTTTCAGATCAAATGGGGAGCGTGTGGCCTTGTTCTGGCAGGCAATGCAGTCATTTTCCTTACAATTCAAGGTTTTTTCCTTGTATTTGGAAGAGGAGATGATTTTAGCTGGGAGCAGTGGTAGCACTGTATTCTGATAAAACACATTTAATTTCTTATATTTCATACTATATGTGTGTGCACATGTGGCCTTTTGCTATGAAATTCAATATGCTGGGTTTTTTTTTTTTGTTTTTTTTTAATACTTTTATATCATGTTCACTTTAAGGAGGACTATTTGAGAAAGATTTGTTTTATTACCAGCAAATAGACCACTTCATGTACTCAAGTTGAATTATGTTACTTGGCTGTTCATATAGTCATGGTGCTCTCAGAAAATACGTTAACACATTCTTGTAGCCAGCTATTCACATATGCAATGCACCTACACCTTTGGCCTGGGGATGTGCTTGGATAGGAGCAGGTCTCAGTTCTGCTCAGGATTTCAAGATACACTTGTGGCCCAGAGAGACAGAGGCGCTCCCTCTTTGTGTGGTAGACCCAGCTTCTCAGAGTGCGGTCCATAGCCCAACAGCATCGGCATCTTCTAGGCATTTACTGCAATTGCAGAGTCTGAGGCCCCACTCCAGACCCAATGCATTTTGATGAAACCCCCAAGTGAGAAGTGCTGTCGTAGATGACTAAGTATCATACACAGTTTCTTTTTCTTCCCCCTTGCTAAACCCCTTAACCTGTCTGGGTGTTAACTGCTCGTTTATGAAAATTGTTTCACTGCCCACATGTTGAGGCCTTGTTCAGACTCTCTTCGGTTATTTGTGAAATGTCCTCACCCGCAATGTATAGGCTGTTCCTCAAATTTATGAAGTGTTCTCAGGAACCAGTCCCTGCTTTAACAGTGTCCCTTTATTATCTGACACTTCTGTCCCATTCCTTCCTGTGCTGCTCCTCCTCCTCTCCCAAACACACACTATCAGCAGTTCTGATTGGTCCTTGCTTCTTCCTGGCTCTGGTCCCTCCTTTCTACAGAGACATGGAATCAGGTAAGCAAGCAGAGGGTGAGCTGCTTAATTTTCCTTACATGCTGATGTACTTATTGTCTTTTATGTCCTGTAGGACTTTTTATATAGATAGTAACACTGTAGGCCACTTTTAAATGAATCATGAGGCATACATGTCATGCTGGATCCTATAATCACAGTTTTTTTACTCAACTTGATGTCCAAGAGAAAGGGAAATATGGGACTTAGAACCACTTAATCAGAATAGTCGAAGCAGTGATTTTTAGAGTATTGTTAATGTGTGATAACTGATGTACATTCAAAACACTGACCCTTTAAGTTTGTAACCTGAGTAATTAGCATAGCCCTTCATATTCTGAAACCATATTGAGACCAGAAGAAGATAAAAGTGATTCCAAAAAAGACAGTATGCAAAGTTACAGTTTGACCTTGTGCATGATTTTATGTTTTCAGTGTTCTGTGTCCGTATAAAATTGTTGAAGTTATTGTTTCCGATATTTATATTAGAAAAATTATATAGATACTTTATAATTTTAACCAGCATTTTTAACACTTGCACTTATTGTATTATAATAAATTTCACTTTAAACACAAAAGAAAAGTTTACTTTAAAAGTCTTTTTTTCTTATGTAGCCTTACTTAAAAGACAACAAAAAGTGAGAATTTCTTGGTATTCTGAAATGGACAGTTTTGAGTGATAATCTGCCCTGCAATAGAATAATAGTAATAAGAGTTAAGATTCCATTTTGAATGTCTAGTTGGCTAATAATAGCTTTTCCTAAGATGAAAATAGTGTTTAATTTATGTTACCTTTTGCAAAAAAAAAAGTCTTTGTTGCTTGCACAATAATCTAGGTAGCCTTAATGTGTAGCCTTAAAGTATTGCCTCTTGATTGTATTTCCAGGATATAAAGTACTTGCCTATAGAATATTTGTAGCTATTCCCTAATAATGTAATGGTTTGTCGAGGTGATAGATTATTAGATTTGCTCTGTTGACTGAAAATAGACATTTCATATCTTTTCCTAAGAACAAGGTCTTTCTTCCATTTTTGCAACCCTCTCCATCCCCTTATGCCGTTAGGGCCAAGGTATATTCCTGTGAGGTTTGCTGGCCTCCTTTCCTGGATCAGGGCCCTTCTCCCAGCCTTCTCTACCTACTGGGGTTCTTCATATTCCAAAATCATCCACCTTCCTACTGCCAATCAGTTTTCTTAGTATAGTTGGTATCATGTGGTGATCAGGCTGATATGTGGTGATCAGAAGAAAAACAATCTGATCAAACTCCTTTCCAACAAAGAATGAATGACTTGGGATCATCCTCCCCTCATCTGAAACTCACCAATACCTGCATGGTGCAGTTGCTACACAATGCTGCAGCTGCATTTTTTCAAGGTCATGCCTCAGAACCCAAGGCCTTTCCCAGACAATGGCAATGCTTCAAAGTAAGGTGGAAAAGCATCCCAACAATTTATAGAAGGGTAATAATGTTTTGGGGGCAGGGCAACCCTGTCACATCTCACCCCTTCCTCAGGGTGAATTCTTAGCTGGTCCTACTTTCCATAGTTTTTTTCTTTTACTCCACTTATAAACCCACATATTTTATTATATTGATTTTAGAGAGAAGAAGGAGGAAGGGTGAGAAAGAAACATGGGTTGACTCATGCACACTTCCTCACCAGGGATCGAGTCCACAAATTGGGAATAAAACCACCACCCTTTGATGCACACAATGATGCTTCAACCAACTGAGCCACACTGGCTAGGGCCTCAGATTTTTCTTACCATCTCCTCTTAGATACTTTACCTCTGCGGTATCTTCTTCATGAAGAGTCTTCCGAGTGTAGCTGAAATGTTTCATTACATGAATAACATTCCTTGTACTTTCAGGGAAATGCTTAGATGTCACAAAAACGTGCTTTTTGAAAGTTTGTAAAATTTACATTTTGCACCATAATTTAACTGAAATATTTATGAGGGTGCTAGCATTTTCCAAGCATAGTAATTAGTTCACAACTGAGAAATATTTCTGTAGATGAATGTAAGTTGTGCAATTAAATCTTCTTCTTGACGTTCTGCTTCATGAAGTACCTTTTTTGCAAAAATTCCGGTGTGTAATAGCTCATGACTTACTGGAAGAGAGCAGTGATACATGTGGCCCCAAGCATAATGTGAAAAACCCCCAAGACTGCTTCAGAATACTTTATTATATGTGTATAATGAGGACGATTACTTTTTAAATAAAACTTGTCATTTATACTTAAAAAAGACTTGTATGTACATTATTAAACTAACATGTTTGTGTTTTGCTTTGGGATACATTATATTTAGAAAAGAGACCAGCAGATTTATTTTCCAGTGTTTTTGTTTGGGTAATCTTCATGTGAATTTGACTAGTGTTGAGCCTATACTTACTGTAGTTGAAGCAAAGCAGTCCCGGAATGTGTGCTAACTGGAAGGAATCCAATCCCTAATTATAGCTTTGCTGTGGCTAACACTCCCAGGTGGAGATGGGTGTGGGGATGTGGTTAATCAAGAGTTTGCTGCATTGGAAAAGGGAGACAGACTCAACATTTTAAGTTCTGTACCTGTCCTGAAGAGTCTTCTTGTGCACTACAGAAAAGCACCAACGTAAAATACTACTTAAGAAATAGGTGTCCTTAGGCATTAAACGTGGGGAAGGCCTGATGCGCTGCAGTTGGGCTTCGGCAGCTAGATTAGGAAGAGACTGAGTCAGATATTTGTGTTGCTTGTTATTTAACTTAACAAGCGTCAAGTTAAATTTTTATAGAAATTTGATAACACCAACATAACTGGAAAATGCCCATAAGAAGAAACAGTTCCTAAGAAGATGTCTAGTCAAGGGCTTGTACTTAATGCATTTTCATTTATACGGTTGAATCTGGGCTGACAGTGAATGTGAATGTGTCTGGAGGAAGCATTTACCGATCTATTATTTAAAAATAGCACCTGGTCCTAGCCAGTTTGGCACTTTGGATAGAGCATCAGCCTGTGGACCAAAGGGTCCCGGGTTTGATTCTGGTCAAGGGTACATACCTTGGTTGCAGGCTCTTCCCTGGCAGGGGCGCATGCAGTAGGCAACCAGTTAATGTGTTTTCTCACATTGATGTTTTTCTCTGTCTTTCCCTCTGTCTCCCACTCTTCCTAAAAACAAAAACAAAAAAATCAATGGAAAAATATCCTTGGGTGAGGATTAACCAAAAAAGTAACAATAGCATCTGTTTTATATATACATAAATTCTTTGGGGGGAGGAAGATTAGCTAAATGTGAATAAAAAAGGCTTTTTCAGTAATTATAATTTGGAAGTTATTTCTCTATGCAAAGTAAATTTTTAAAGTTTTGTTCTCTTGTTTTTTGCAGAAATAGAAAACGTCACTTTTTTTAAAGTACTAAAGTTGGTAAAGAATTTACATGTCCAGCATCTTCCCACATTTTTAAAAAGTACAAAATAAATTTCAATTCCTTTTTGTTTCCCTGTAGTCATCAGGCACAATTAATAGATGATCATTTGAAATAATTATTAATTTTTATATTGGGTATATTGACAAAGTGGCCCTAATCTTAAGATTGCTTATTTGGAGAACATTCTTAAAAGACTGCACAGTGTCTCTTTCCTGTTGATTATCTCACATCAAAATTGGATAATTATAGATGTTTTATATACTTCCAAATTAATTATTAGATATGAAATCAAAACTTGTATATTTAATATTTGTTCTTATAATAACTAAATAAAGCCATCACTTTATTACTAGCTTTGGAGAAGATGTTTCATTTTGGTTATGAAAATTTTACAAATTCCTTTGTCCCAAACCCATTTCTAAAGTTGGTTTATTAGAATGTGCTATGTGTTCTTATCCCAAAGATTCTCAACCGGACAGTTTGGGAATTGGATTGTATCTTTCTCTGAGAATATGCAAACTTTCCTGGTCACATTTGGATCTTTCTTACTCTTTTAAAACGAATTGTGAGATTTGTTATGGCTGCTGCTTATTTTAAACTCCCCTTCAGTAATTGAAGAAAACTGTATCATCATTTTTCTTTTTGCTTCTTTTCAATTTAAGATTAAAGAATCATATTCTGTTCATTATTTTCATGCCCAGCACTAAGATAATTTCTTTTTTCATGAGTTCTATATAAGCCCTCTCTTTTCTCCCTTCTTTTGTCTTTTACATTCTCTTATTTGCTGCCCATAATCATTGCTTGTCTTTAAAAATAGGAACTGTAGCTCTGATCGGTTTGGTTCAGGGGATAGAGTGTCAGTCTGTGGACTGAAAGGTCCCAGGTTCGATTCCGGTCAAGGGCACTTAGGTTGGTTGCAGGCACATCCCCAGTGGGGGTTGTGCAGGAGGCAGCTAATCGATGTTTCTAACTCTCTGGTCCTCTCCCTTCTTCTCAGTAAAAAAATCAATAAGATACATTTTTTAAAAAAGGAACTGTATATAACCTGATTTCTCTTGTGCTTGGGGAAAAAAAATCTATCCACAAATGACTAAAGCTCTTAGAAAAATAAAAAGAAAACCATTCAACTGAAGCAAAGGAAAGAAAGAAGATAAACCTTTCACTTAAAAGATATATGCTTTGGGAGTGACCTGCCCAGTTAGAAATTTATGATCAGATCACCTGTGAGGTTACTTTTCATAGGACCCTTTTTTATGTTCACATATTAATCTCTAGCCCAGGTTTCTCTAAATCCCAGAGTTGTATATCCTGCCGGCAATGTAAACTCACCACTTGGATGCTTAATAGACATCTCAAACTCAGCTTGTCCAAAATCAAACTCCTGACACACTCTTATCAGTTTCAGAACTCATTATTGCACATCCCACATGCAATCCATCAGAAAATCATTTTGCTTCTACTTTAAAAAATGTATCCAGAATCAAAACACTTCTCATACCTTCTCTACTTCTATTGGTTGAAGACAGTGTGTCTCGTTTGGATTATTGAACTAGCCTACCTGTCTCCCTGCTTTGACCTTTTCCTCCTTCAGACCAGTCTCAACGCAGCAATCAGTGAACCTGTGAAATGTAAATCAGATCATGTCAGTCCAATGGCTTCCCATCTCATTTCAACAAAAAGAAGGTAAACAACACATGTTTTAATGGATAAAA